GAGGCAAAACATTCTCTAATAAATCTAAAAGAAACAGGTACTTATCAATTAAAAGTGATCTTATAACAATGTTTGTTAATGATATTTAATAATAGCTAACGATTAAACTGGCACACGAACATTGGCTCCGTATAACTTTGATTGCCTCTACTTAACTAGAATAGAGTATAAAGGTTTATCGTTTCAAGCAATGGAGAGTTCTCAAATAAACTACTTGGTTGTAAATGGAAGCCCTTCAATAAATGGATTCTGATCACCAGGGTAAAACAAACCTTTGGTTACAAAATACATTATAAAATTAATACTGATTGCATATGTATGACAGGATTACACATCTATAATAAATTGAATAATGAGTAGTGACCAATATTATGCGGATCTAGACTTCAGTGCTCGGAGGATCTTACTGATCAAGTTTCAGTATGGATATAAGACCCAGAGGGGGCATCATTTCTTTCAAGATGATAGATATGCCTTATTAATGAGCTCAGAATAACAGAAAATCTAAATCCATAGTTTCCTGTTGAATGCTACCAACTACCTAACGTGCTCATTTATAGAAAGTCTCTGTAATTAAAATTGGAAGTATAAACCACTGGACAACATCGAATCAAAAGTTTGTGGTCGCTTTGAGATCTTAATGTTATTGATTTAATCCCTAAAGGATAAGTGGGAGTATTTTAGAAACGCTCTACTAGGGCGGGATAGCTATCCAGTGCTTCTTGGTCTCCCAAGGTACCATTACTTAGGTTAAAGCACGATAATAAGTTCTGTAGTCTGTATAATCATAAAAACTGAGAGATGTGGAGCACTCATAAAACTTTTGGCATTTCCGTTTTTTGAAGTTGAATAATTTTGCATTGGAGTAATGTGAACTGATTCATTCTGAGCAATAAATTCTAAATGGTCGTTAAGTATCCAAAATAAAGAAAATGAATGTGTTATGATGCTTTTATTGTTTAAATGAAGTAGCATAGTTACTAAAATTTGTTTTGAAATAGCTATAAGCCTTCATTAACTGAGTTAGCCAGAGCATGTGTAGTTTAATCGAAATTTCGCATTGACACCACTAGATAGTGAGTCATTGGTTTGAAGGTTAGATACTCGCACTCGAGGTCGAATGTTCTCAAATTGATCGTGGATGTGTACTGTCGAGTAGTCCTGAATCAGGATATAACAGCTCTTCCAGTGCTTTTTGGTTTTCATTGATGGTGTAGCTAAGATAGTTTCATGATTTAACCTTTAAAACTTTTATTGAATAATTTTCAATCACTTTTAGATTGATTTTCTTCTTAACTATTCTCTTTTTTTCATGTAAAGCTTCCGAAGGAAAACCAACACAAGAAACATCTGAAGAAGACAAAGCTAAAGTGAAGCAAACAGATGATGATGGTGACAACGACAATCAAACAGAACCCAATGGTGATAATGATGATGATAATGATATCGACCGATCTGAACATGGTGAAGTCGATCAACAAAATGTGATTCGAACAGACGATCCTAAAGATGATGATGATGATATCACTGAAAATAAATCAGCTGTGGAAAATGAAGTACCGAAACCTCAAGGTACAGTGGAAGAAGAACAGGAAGATGAAGATGATGATGAAGGTGATGACGACAATACCGAAGTATAATAATAATTACTGATGTCTTTCTCTATGATAATGTACATGATGAATGATTTTGAATAAAAGGCTTCCATTATCCTTTCTTGTTTTTGTTTCTTCAGGCTATAGGTATTACACAAACTTCAAAGATTATAGAACTATACAGGTTTAAAGGGTTTTTTATAAAACCGGAAGAAATAGCTTTAGAAAAACCATCATATTAATGAGTGTATTCATGTATACAATAGTCATCTAATCTGTTCATTTCTTAGAATATCAGTTCAACTTGTAGCTGAATGATGATGGATTAAAACTGTTTAATTACAGAAAATGTATAGTTGAATAGATTGTAGATACTTTTTATTTGAACTAGATAATCTGTTTATGACGCTGTGATGTGTGCTACTGAAATCAATAGATATAAGTAGTATGTAATATTGAACAAAAGTGAAATACCTAGAGGCAGAAGGTTAAAAAGATCGAAGAGAAGAGAACGAGAACAGAAAGTGGTTAGTGTGGAAAAGAAGTAACACTCAAGTCTGAGACGATTGAATGATATTTTGCAAGTGAAGTACACTTAACTGTATGGTTCTCAGATATTCCTAAGATGTTCTGCAATGTTATGTTCGAATACATTCGATTGTTCCTACATGTGTGTTCTCGTTCACTAAAAACCTTCTGCAAATGTTCTGATTGCTGTCGAAATACACATGTCACTAATCCTCGTGTAAAATCAGCGGCTTAATCCGCGTTGAGTGAATAACAGAAGTAAATAAGTCAAATACGAGAATGGATTATGAATACGCATATTTCTATATAATCGTTGATTCTGCCAAACAAGTGAAGAAACGAAGTGAAGAGGAGAGAGTGAAGCGAATTGACACGTAGCGGAGAAGATATGTGCTGATGATGTCGTTCAGAAGAACGATGAAAGCTCCACAACCAAAGGATCTACCTCAGAGAACAAAACTCCATCAAAATCATCCACTTTAGCTACAAATCTCCACCATCTCAGAATGAATTAATTGGCTTGTTCGGAAGCCAAAATAAGCCATGTGGACTTTACACAGTAACCGGCACTCCAATGTATATTGATTGTAGTCTTCATTGTGCTTACATTTTCATCAATACATAATTTTCAAGACATCATAATCGAATCTAGTAAATGTTACTGATATCATAAATCTCCCTAAGTTAGGCATCTTTGGAAAACTGTTAAACTTAGAAACTTACTTGCTTACTCCTGTTATAGATCGTTGAATAGCATAGGCCACTCATCAGCATTCTCCATTCAACACTGTACTGGGCAATCCTTTCAAATTAGTTCCAATTGGTATTCATCCGTTTCATGTCTGCTTCCAATTCTGAGTGCAGTATGTTTTTCAGCATTTCACTTTTCAGTTTGCGTTCAAAGTTCCAAGTTAGTAGTTGCCTCGTGATTCAGTTTGATGATTTCCGCAATGCCTGTCCGATTCACACTTAGCGTCTTTCCTAATTTCTTCATCATCTAAAAACTGATGTATTCTTTCCCACAGCAGGCTGCTGCTGGTAGTATCCGACCAACGGACATTGAGTATCTTGTGTGGACAATTATTTATAAATACTGGTACATTTTTGATGATGGTTGTGGTAGTTCTCGAAGTTTCTGCTGCATACAATAGAACTGTCTTAACGATCGTATTAGAGATTCTGACTGTGATATTGATTGACGGTTGTTTTGAGTTCCATATGTTCTTCAGTTGTGAGGATGCCGTCCTTAATTTGCAAATCCTTCCTTTCACAACTCCCTCAAATTCCCCTTGTTAATTGATGACGCTAGCCAGGTACATGAAAATTTCGACCTCTCCCAGAGATTCTCCATCAAGTATGATTAGGTCGGTGTCCTCTGTGAAGACTCGAGAGTACTGAACAGGTGTTTTGTCCCGGTTTGGGGTATTCCAATAGTATACATTCATGGTCCAGATGGCTATACAATTTGGGATCTCTAATTCTCGTGGTGAGAGTTTTACATCTAAATAAGTGAACCAGAATCCACTGGAATTTATGTCATAATTTAATCAATTTACAATATCGTTTTAACATCTTCCATTGCTTTTTAGTAGGCAACTATCTTACATCCAACACAGTTGAGCTCGAATGTTTACAGCTGTCCAGCGCTTCTTGATTTTAATTAAATGTTCAACTTATATCAGTTTGTGATATCAATAACATAGGGGATTTCACTTCACTCCTACCTGGAGTTTGTGCTAATGATTTTGTTCAGAAGAACGATGAAAGCCCTAAGATCAAAACATTCAGCTCAGAGAACAAAACTTCATCATAACCATCCATCTGAGCTACAAATCGTCTCCACAGAAACACTGTAGTAGTTGTTCATGTTTTCCATTATTATTTTATCAATCCTTTGACAAATATATTAGAAGGAATGGAAGAATAGTTGTAGTAAATGAATCAATAAATAAACGTCTGATTGTTGATATTAAGGACTGAATATGGATCATGAAATTTCTTCCATTGGATAAGCTAAGGAATGAGTAACATAGTAGATAACGAGTTATGTTTTTCGGAAAGAAAGATACCAAGTTCGAATCCTGTAGTGAGCAAAGATTCTGGGATGTAAACATATCCAGCTGAAAGGTTCGAAAGCAACCGAAATGGATATCCCGAATACTTACTTATATTCATAAAATATGTTTGGGATCATTGTAGTGAATGAGAAACACAAATGAGGATAACAAAATGTCTCAATCTGTGAACCATACAGTAAATACTTCATTCTGTAAAATGTCAATCCATTGTCTCATACTTCACTGTTCCTTTATTTCTATACCAATGCTTCTTTGTTCACGTTCTCATTCTCTTTGATCTTCACTACACTCTTACCGCCATGTATTCCACTTTCAATAGATGATGATATATATACTACTTATATTTATCGATATCAGTAGCATACACCTACCATAATCTGATCACATGGTTTCACATAATATTCTTACATCAATCAAATTTCTTTCAGTAAAGTATGTGGAAATAAAAAAAACACAAGACAAACATATGACATAATAAGTTGGTGTAATACATGAACTTGTATATACGTGCCTAAGTACATACACTCACACACACACTTGTACATACCTATAATGCAGAAAATTTGTAAGCACACCCAAATATGTAAAACAAAGTTGTGGTTTTTTATTGTCAAATCACTCATGACTACTCACAAACACACACACACATACACACACCAGAAAGGAGCTTTGTCTATTTGAGAACAACAAAATGACCCTCCTCAAATTTATTGATTGATCTGGTTTATCCATGCACAATAGCATTTATTGTATATTGATACATTACTATGTATATATATATACTAATCATAGTATAAGAGTAAAACAAGTAGTGTAACAAATTTCAATTGTTTCTATGGTAAGTTGAAAAAAAACTTATTCGATGAAATCTATTCAATGTTATATGAAATAAGCATCATTGTAGCTTATTGATGAATGTGTCTTGTTTGTATCTTCCCAAATGATATTAAAGATTGTCATTGATTAGTCTCTTATTGATAATATTGTGTATACTGGTAGGCATTTTGCATCTTTGCTTATGATGTTTGTGATGAAAGATAATGTCTAGGTAATACGCATAGGATACACATATATCAATAAGAAACTGATCAATTACAATAGTAAACATCAATTGGGGAAGATTCAAGTGAACGAGCACCAAGTGAATTTAAACTCCGCCTTATTACACAAGCAAGTGACTATCAGGAAACCCCTGTAGCTAAGTGGATAACGTGATGGGATTTGAAGGTACAAAAGGTACTGGGTTCAATTCTCAGAGTGAGCATCAACTCTAACTGACAAGTCCTGAATAGAACAAAACGTGCATCCTGGATTCCACTGCTAGCCACTGTTCATCTTTGCTTATGATTCAATTGTTCATTTGGTTAATATATATTACTTAAAATATCAATATTCTATACATTGGGTCTTTTTCTATTATTTATGAGTTTGGTGAGTGTTAGGATCTATTTGTTGACTAATACTATAGGTGAAATTATAATTTATGGACAACTTTTGAGCAATGCTAAAGTGATCTTGAGAATACCCACTTACTTATTAAGGTTTAAATGACGGTTATAATCCAGTGTGTGAAGAATTAGAATTATGATTAAGGTTGTGAACTGGGTTCAGGGTTTTCATCATGGACTGACATCAGTTATGATGTGAAAACTCTATTTAGCCATATGAATAAGTGAATTTCGCGCCAAAATCCAAGACCTGTTATTCTAAATCTGATTGGTTCATCCATATATTATAGTCTCAACATACCATATATATATTTTTATTGTATAATTGTTATGTAACTAGATGGTATGTATATTCATATTCCGTTTATTAAAAGCTTCATTTTAACCTATTGACCATTATCATATCGTTCTTAGGTTATGCTCAGTCGAATAAGTACACTCTCCCTTATTCCCAGCCACATTTGACTTAATCATGTACAAATGTTGTTTTCTATTTTATGATACAATGTAGTCTCCTTGGTTGATTTATATAAACACAGTATGTTTGATATACGTGATTTATATCACGGAGGCTGAAATTGATGTTCTGGACTCAAACAGGCAGGGCTAGGGGATGGAAGCAGGACCGATAAGGACTTCAGACTACTTGCAGGGATTTTATACGTCATTGGTCTGATCGATAAGAAAAAGAGTCACAAGTTATAATATAAGGAGACCCAGAAACGTTTATCGAAAAAAACCCAAAGGGACTCTGAACACATTGAGAAACATTTTATCCGATTAACACAAAACAGAAGATTCTCGGAAATATCTAGAAAGTAAAGAGTCATTTGTAATACCTATCCTCCTATTATATTTGAAATGATTCCAGAATTTTCTAAAAGCCCAAAGCCATCTGAAATGTTATAAATGCCCTTGATTTTCTACACATACACTAACCTTAAGTTAAAGTGTTCTTTCCATATTTCGCACCTTTTATCTCACATTTGAATTGTATAGATTAAATCTGGGGGTTTCTAGAAGAGCTTAGAAAACTGAATCAAGAGTTCAGTCAGTAGATTTATCACAGTCAATCTGATAGAATCATGTGAACTAATCAACGGTTTCATTTTATCAGAAAGGGCTTTGTGGAGATTTTAGAAATTTCACTGGTTGAAATCATGAGTCAATTGAAGCTAGACCACCATGGGAAATCTGTAAGCACTGAACGGCCGTTTCGTTCTAGTATGGGACTTTCCAGCGATGAGCATCCGCGAGCCCGCACCCCACGAGATTCAAACCCAGTTCGCGCCAGGCGCTCAAACAACTAGATCACTGAGCCAACACCCAACGGTGTTAATGTCTAACTTCATTTTATTCATTGCAAAGTATCATACAATAAGTGATTTACGTTTTATAATATAATAACAGTATATCACCAACACATAACTTCAACTGTAGCTCTTCTAGAATTACTATCGGTCCCAAACCCGGGTGAAGGAAAGAGGCTAAGTGACATACGTCAACCAGATTAAACAAATTAAGTAAGTAAGTATCAATAACACATTGTAATAACTTCTATATTATGTAACACTCAAATGAAGCCAAAACGAAACAACGTTTTCCTCCACTCAATGTTCATTTGAAAATAGTTAAAATTATGATACTCCTATTTAAATTCGAATATTGAAAAGCGGGATCGTGGAGGCGACTTGTCACTGAGGAATCTCACAATAGGACGAAACGGTCATCCAGTACTTCCAGGTTTTCCATAGTGACCTAACTTTAATTAATTCATGATATCAACTAATGAAAAAACATTTTTTTCGGTTTATTTTAGATAAATGAAAACTGTACAAAAACAAAATTATTCATTAGCGCCGAAAAATGATTTGTGTCAAGAAAGTTTCTTTGGGAAAAATGTAAGTTTTATAATCACTTACTTACTTACATAACCCTCTTATCCTTAATGGAGGACCATAGACTACTTACCAACAATCTTCATCCAACTTTGTTCTAAGTAATCCTTTTCAGTTAGTTCCAGTTGCTAAGTTGTCCTTCCTGTATCCAACATTAGCCGGATGTTCCATATTTCTCTGGATGTTAGAAGGAGCATCGGTCTGGTGACGTTTGAAGAATCTTGTATTTCATCATGATATATTATAATTCTTCATTCAACTCCTAGGGCAGAGTTTGAATGGCTTAATTTATTTATTCTATTTAGAATTATTTTCGCAAGGTTGTTTCCTATGGGGTAAGATTAACGATCCCTAACCCAATTCTTCATCTTTACTGGGTCTTTGGATCGACAGTAGCCTTAGTGGAGCTACAGGTGGAGTTAAATCTAATACACCAAAGCCTTATTGAAAAGTTCAATGTATATTTTTCATACATGTCATCAACTGAATATTTCTTGGTTAGAAATAATCAATAAGAGTCTAATTAGAGTATTTTGTTGATGACATTAGACAAGTGGTTATCATCTTAGTAACCATAGTTACTTTAAAAGTGGATGAATCAACTTAGAAAACATTGATTTTCAATGTTACAACAGATGAGTAAACCATGTTATATACATTCTTTTTTATTTATATAACAGAATTGTTTATTATTAGAATGAAGTTTTGTGGGGATTTTAATGATTTGAATAGCTGAATTCATGAGTCAATCTAAACTAAACCACCATTAAAAACATGGAAGCACTCGATGACTGTTTTGTCATAGTATGGGACTCCTCATCAGTGTGCATCCACGATCATACAATGGATGAATGATTGCATCTGATCATGGATTGGTTGATGTTAGACAATTACACCGTTCGATTCCGTTTCAGTGAACTGGAGGTTAAGCGTTCGCTCGCGAGACCGAAATTCCTCGTTTAAAGTCCTTTTGGCGTGGGGTCGTGAATATGCATTACCGAGTGGTTCCATACCCGACCGTTGTTGCTACCTTGACGTGGTGGTCGGGCTTGCCTATCGTGATGAAGCAACCGAGCTATACTGGCTGGAACAACCGTTCCTCAAGGTCCTACCATGTCAGACAGGTCGGTTAAAGAGCGGTAAGACTAAAAGCAACAAACCCAAGGTCCGAAGGCGAAGTCGTACTGCTGACTGTCCAGGGGTGTGACAGCAGTAAGGTGTTTCCTTCAGACAACCAGCATGACAGCGATGCTGCCTTCCCACAAGGAGGGGTGGGGTTAGAAAAGGTCGACCCTAAAAATGCACACCTCACCTTACCTCACGGATTTACGTCTCCGGCGGTAAGGCTCTTTGAAGAACGGAGCTAACACGTCACAAACCTTCCACGAAAAGGCCGTGCGCGACCGGCCTCAAGCAGTTGTCCCTTGGGCACTGCAGTCACGCTCTCAGGTCGCTGAGACCGCCTCTAATCCAATTTCCTTTTCAGGTACCTCTAGAAGAACCCTTCCACGGTGTGGGCAACCGGGAAGTGATAACCGCCCTCATACCTCTAACAGCACCCAAGACCACTGTAGTTCCATACCTCTAATCTAAAGTAAAAATGTAATACTGTTAAACTGACGAAATATCTTCAGTTATCCATACATTAAATATATATAAATTCGTTGAAGTTGAACTTGTACATCATTGGTTGCTAATTCAAGTAGTCTAGAATTTAAATAAACAACCAGTGAAATTAGAAGACACTAGAGAATTGTTTTGTTTTTCAGGCACAGAACTTGTTAATAGTGAGCATTGATGACTTCAAAGAAGTTTTTAGTAGGAAGATCCAGAGGTCCTCATTTAACTGCACTTTCTCAATAGCGTCATGAATAACCACTGCTGACGAATCTTATACTGTAGTGATCGGGAACATAAGTGGGGACATCCAAGTGTATTTGAACACAATATTACAGAACATCTTAGTAAAATTTGACAACCATACAGTAATTACTTAATTTGCCAAATGTTAATCACTCGTCTCAGACTTCATCATTCCTTCATTTCTACACCAAACATTCTTTGTTCTCGTTCTCTTCTCTTCAGTCTTAACCTCCGGACATTCCAATATCGATTAATGAAATATATACTACTTATATCTATCAATATCAGTAGCACACCGAAATACTACGACAAAATAACTATCATATACTTTCAATTAAGCTTTATACATAAATATGGATCATAAACTATAAATATCTATGATTGTTTTACATTTTAGATCACTGATCCATATCGTTGGTTAGAACAACATTTCTCTCATAGAACTCATCAATTTATTTTATATCAAATGAAACAAACACAACAGTTTTTATCAAGTTGTCCATATCAGGAAGATTTCAGAAATTAGTAAGTTATTTATTGTAAACAAAGAGAAATCATAGATTAGTCGAAGTTAAGCATAAACATCATTGAATACTGGCTAGCTCAATGGTCTAGAGGTTAAGTGTGTTCGTGTACGAGGTGGATAGGTATTGGGTTTGAATCATGGATGTGAACTGTCACTGAAGAATTTCACAATGGAACGAAATGGCCGTCCAATGCTTCTAGGTTTTTCATTATAATCTAGCTTTAATAAAGTTATGATCGCAACTACTGAAATTATTATAACATCCACAAAAAACTCTCTCTGATACTAATCAGCATATGCTCACTAGTGACTGGCTACAAGAGTTATTTCTTGGAGTTCTAGTGAGAAGTAATGACCACTGGAGTTCAATCGGATCTGTTGTGAGATAGTAAATCACTGATGACAATGGTGGATATGTTGCTCAATTTCATGGATTAGTTTATGTTACACATTAACATCATTGTTTACCGGTCAGCTCATTGGTCTAAAGGTTAAGCGTTCGCACATGAGACCGATAGGTCTTTGGTTCGAATCTCGCGATGCGGGGTCGTGGATAAGCACTGTCACTGAGGAGTCCCATACTAGGACGAAACGCCCATTCATTGCTTCTAGATTTTTAATGATGGTCTTACTTCAAATGACTCATGATCTCAACAATTTGAAGGATAAATCAATCGTTTTTCTTTTTCTTTTCTTTTCTTTTTTTCTATCTAGTTTACAATCATTATGTAATTTTGATTGGTATAGTTATTCATTAATTCGTGGTGCTAATTACTTTTATTGTTTTAAACCGTTACATTTAAAAACGATGTAAGTTTATCATTATGTATCTATCTAACTATCTATCTAATGAATCTATTCTAGTGTATTAGAGGTTATACAATATAGAATGAAATGTCCACAGGTTATATTAGATCCAACATGTATTGGATTAGAACAATTAGAAAAGATTATTGCATTCAATATATCAGATTGTGGTACATATTTATGTTATGAAATATGGAATCAACATAATGATCAATATAAATTGTATGTAAGTTTGTAATTTGATTGTTTTTTTGTAATATAACTTTACCTGTAACACTTCGATAGTTACTGCTTGTTCCAAGACCTGGATAAAGAAGGAGGGTTAGATATGGGATGACTGATCTTACATCCTGTAGAAAATTAACTCATGGGGAAAAAAAACGATAACCAGAATTATATAATTCAAACCATTTAAACTTTGCCCTAAAGGTTTGACGGTGTTCATTTAGAAGAGTTATGACGCCTCATGGTGAATACCGAGTTCTTTTGGACGTCATGAGGTTAATGCCTCTTTTAACAACCAGAGTAATAATTTTGATAGGTAAAGGTGGGTGGCCTATTCTCTTCTACGAGAAGTAACAGGCGTAAGTAAGTATTTGTAATAAAGAAATATGGATAGTGGTTAGCAAGGGAATCCAGGATGCGTGTTTCTTCCTATTTGGGGTTCGTCATCTGGATGTACTTGCATCACAGTGTTGATATTCACAACGGGACTCAAACCAGTACCATTCGCTTCAGACGCCATCGCGTTATTCACTTAGCTACTGAGTCCTGATAGCCACTCACTTGTCCAATGGGATGAAGTCTAAATTCACTTGGTATTGTTTTCTTGAATCTTCCCATTGATGTTTAGGACTGCAATTGGTCTGTCTGTTATTGGCATCCTATGCTGACTGCCTCAAGACTGTCTGAAGTCACAAACTTTATAAGCAAAATGGATAGTGGTTAGCAGTGTAATCCAAGACGCGCGTTTCGTCTTACTTACTGCATCTTGGAGTTGATTTTCGCTCCGGGACTCGAACCTGATAACGTTCGCTTCAAACACCATCTCATTATCCACTTAGCTACTCAGTCCTAATAGTCATTTTCTTGTGCAATGAGGTGAAGTTTAAATTCACTTGGTATTGTTTGTTTGAATCTTTTCATTGGTGTTTAAGACTACAATTGATCAGTCTCATAGTGGCATATGTACATACTAAGTGTATTGCTTCGATATTGTCTTAATTCATATGCAAAGATGAATAATGGCTAGTAGTAGAATCCAGGACGCACGTTTCGTCCTACTTCGGACTCGTCAGTTGAGTGTACCTGCATCACAGTGTTGATATCCACTTCTAGACTCGAACCCAATACCGTTCACTTCACACTCTTTCGCATTATTCACTAACCTACATCTAGTAAATCCAACTGATGAGTCTCAAGTAGGACGAAACATGCATCGTAGATTCCAAAACGTGTTGTTGTTCAAACACTTCTTTATTCACTATTGTTTTTGTTTCTCTTTTTAATAACAGTTTAAGAATTTAAAAATGGATATTCAATTATCAGATTGTATTAAATTACGAAATAAAAGCTCTATGACATGGTCAAAAGATAATAAAGGTTTATATTATATTCATTGTATTCCATTATATTCAATGAAAGATCAAATGAATAATTTCATAGAAAATTATATTGTCTCTATAAATTATCATAAATTAGGTGAAATGGATCAAACTAATGATTTGGTTGTATGGAGTTGTGAAATGTCTGAAAAAAATTTAATGTAAGTAATGAATGATGTTCATGGTTATGTATATATATATATATGCGTATATGATTTGATTTTTGCTTATAGTTAGGTTGTTTTCTATGAGATGGAATTGACGACCATATGGATAAGTCTTGTTAATTTGAACAGTTTATTCGGTTCCTAAACTATTCTGGTAATCTATAAGCTAGAATTTCGCAGCGACTTGAACTCGAGAGGAAAGGCTCGAAATAAGCAAAAAACACTTTCTTCCAAAGGTTCATTTTTGTACAGAAAAACATGGGTATTTATAGATGTTAACATTTGTTAAATCAATATCATATTTTGGCCAATCCGCTAAAAGACATATTATACTACTGACCAATAGTAGCACGCCAACTTGATATTCTAGAAAGCTCCATCATTCACTAATTTGGCCAGGACTTCTTGTCTCCTTTAGGCTCTCTGGAGGCCCGTTGTAGTTCTCGGAAAGCCGAATCAACATCTTCTCCGAGTAAGTTTTCTTTCAAGGATTTACTTGTAGCTTGACAACTGGGTTGCGGCGGTGTCCCATTATTTCTGTTGTTTTCCTTGTGCGAGGCTTTTTTTCAATGTTCTTAGGCATATGTAGTGTTGGTGTGTCTAAGATTAACTCTAACGGAGAATTTGGTCAGTTATTTTAAGTCTGCATCGTTCTTTTGTCTTTATGGATTTGAGTTGTATGTTGTATACATGTTCCAAATGTTCCTTGGACTCTGTGCAGAACTTTTCTCAATTTCTGTACAACTTTTCCCGGCTCCCATCGGTTCTTTCCGATGTAGAATTTAATGAACACTTTGTCGCTAACATTAAAGCTCCTGATATTTGGGTTGTGACTGTGCCCATCCATTAGTTTGGATGGCAACATAGCATTGAAAACGATCCGAATACGCCTTTCGAACATGGCTTCATCAGGGGACTTACCATCTGGAACATTTCGGTTCAGACTGGTTCTTTAGGATGTTAAACATTTTGTGATTACTTGTCCAGTTGTCCCTTTGCCTTCCCCTTTCAGTGATGCTCGTTTAAAGGTGTCCACAAAGCGTTCTACTTATCCGTTTGATTGAGGATGATAGGGTGGAGAACGAAGATGAGCCAACTCAACAAATATGTCCACAACTCCTGCTTTACGGGGGTTTGAGACTCCCAGTAAGCTTGGAAGAGCTTTAGGCGGAGGTGGAAAGTTTCATGTATTTGGGTAGCATCATTGATGAACGTGAAGAATCTGATGCAGATGTAAGGGCGAGGATTGACAAAAAAAGCACAACATTTTTACACTTGAATAACGTATAGAACTCAAAACATTTGTCAATCAATATCAAAGTCGCGATCTTCAATGCGAACGTCAAAAACAGTTCTACTATACGGGGCTGAAACTTGAAGAACTATCACAAACATCATCAAAATTGTACAAGTATTTATGAATAATTGTCTACACAAGATAGTCAATGTCCGCTGTGGAATATAACAAACCAGCTTCCAGCTGAAAAGGAAATTGGGGAAAGATGATGGAATTGGATAGAACATACAATACACAAATCATCAAACTGCATCACAAATCCAGCGTTAATTTGGAATCTTGAAGGGTAACGGAAAAGGAGAAGGTCAAAGGACAAGCTTTGTTGAGAATCGTAAGCAGACATGAAAAGAATGAATAGCAAGTGGAAAGAAGTGGAAAGTATTGCCTAAGACAGATTTGGATGGAGAATATTGGTGAGTGGCCTATGCTCCTTCATGACGGATAACAGGCGTAAATAGTAAGTAAATATATACGTATATGGAAGAAAACATTAATGTTTAAGGAGAATATCAAACACTTACAAATAGTGATAAGTCATACACTCTATTGAAAGTGAGGCAAATATTAACCATAGAAATAATCATATATTATCTCAAATGTGATGAAATCCCAAATGTAAACTACTGAAGGATCAGCTTTTGATCTAAAAGTTAAGTACTGATCAACAGAAGTGAATAGTATAGAGTCGATCTTTGGTATGGTAGTAGTTGACAACTACCTAAGTATTAACAGATTATATTATAATTGTAGTTAAACTATTCACTGACGATATATATCATTGTAATTTTATAAGAAAGCTTTACAATGGCAATTGTGTCAAAGATTTATCGGTGAGTCTATACTCTATGGACGATCTTTGAATGACGCCAAATTGACCATAAGAGTGGGCGAGACTCTAATTTATGAACGACTGTTTGGAATAGTATTCCTTTCACTTATCTCCTGTCTTCGCATTTGCGACTTTGGAGGGTTCTAGCGTTCAAGTGCTCAAGTTATAAGCGGTGTATCAAGAATATAAGTTCTAGATATAACACAATCATCTCAGAGTTCATCGTTCTTTCGTTTCCACACAAATGATTATCTGTTCTCCTTCACTTTCCTTTAATCTTTTTAACCTTCTACCTCCAGGCATTTCACTTTCGATTAATGTTACATACTACTTATATCTGTCTAGATCAGTAGCATGTACCACACTAGAGTTGATGAAAATATCCAACATTAGTTCATTTCAAGCCTATTGAAGTGACTAGTTATCAATATATTTGTTATTAGATGATTACATTGTAACTTTATTGATAAAATTTGATCTGAACTAAAGGAATTAAAAGAAAACATGATCTTCGTCACTACTGAGTAACTAACCAATTGTAAATATCTCAATCTTACAATAAGTTAGTTTCTATCCAAATATCTTAAACTGAGAAATTAAGTGATCCACATTTTGTTATATCCTGACGAGAATAATGAATGGTAACTGTTGGGATCCATCTATTGACCGATACGATACATTTATTTCTATTGTGTAATTGTCAAATTACTAAACTATTCGTGTTCCCCTTATCATAAACTTTGTTTTGACCTATGAACTATTATCATACGACTGACTATTCTTAAGTTATGCCCTGTCTACCTCCCTCATTCACAGCCACATTTGACTAATTCTTGTACAAATGTTGTTTTCTATGTTATGGTACGATGTAGTCTATTTGACTGGTATATAAACCCAGTCTGTTTGAAATAAATGATTCATATTGCAGAGGCTGAGATTGGTGTTCTGGACTTAACAGGTAAGGCTAGACAGGAAGCGAGACCAATAAGGACTCTAGGTTGCTAGTACGGGTTTTATACGTCATTGGTTCGGTTGATAATTTGTCATTGTCTAATTAGCGATATCATTAAGTCATACATTGATAAGATCACAATGTCACAAGTTTTAAGACTTTTCAACTACATTAAGTGACATCAGTCTCTTCGAGAGTAAATAACCGCCTTGTTGATATGTTCCAACTAACATTAAGCTTAATTCCAGTAGAAGTTCTTTTCAAATGCTTTCAGTTTTCATAGGTTGAAATCATGAGTCGATTGAAGCAAGACCACGGTGTACGGTGGCGAAACTTCGTGGACTGATTGAAGTTAGACATTAACACCGCTGGATGCCGGCCGGCTCAGTGGTCTAGTGGTTAAGTGCTCGCGCGCGAAGCCAGCAGGTCCTGGGTTCGAACCCCGCGTGGTGCGGGATTGTGGATGCGCACTGTCGAGGAGCCCCATACTAGGACAAAACAGCCATCCAGTTCTCCGAGGTTTTCCATAGTGGTCTAGCTTCAATCGACTCATAATTTCAACCTGTGAAATTTCTAAAACTTTCCACAAAACCCATTCTGCTTTCAGTTTTTATATACTCATCTTTATTATTATTTTTTTTATTTGTTTATAGGTTCTGTGAATTAGATGAAACTGGACGTTATATTTTAGTGACTTTATTGAATGATCAAGGTTCACAGAATAAATTAATCTTTGGTTATGTTAATCATGAACGAGTGAAATTAAAAGGTCAGTCCCATTTCATCTTTTCTGCATTGAATAGGAAAAAAAAGATTTCGAAAAGTTTGAATACTGTACAGTTATAACCTGCTATGTTTGACGAGATTACTCAATATCACTTAAACCGGGGAACGGAATGACAGGACAAGATGTACTATTCCAAAGAGCTCCAGCCTTACTAACTTGAAGAAAAGGATCAGATTCATCCGAAGGGAAACTATATTTCACAATCGACCAGAAGCGCAATTGAACAAGCACACAACTTAAGCGTATATATACAGTATGAAAATGTCCTTGGGAATGGTCACAAAATAGCGTACTAAAAGACGAGATGAATCAATGATATTTATGGTCTTTACACATGGTAAATACAATCTGAAGCTAAAAATGGACACCTTTTGAGGAATTCAAATTTCTAAAATAGAATTACAAAAATAAGACGTTTACCAAGTACTTTCTGGGGGGATCTAGCATCCTACAACATAGCATATGAATAAGCAGAGATGGATAGTGGCTAGCAGTGGAATCCAGGACGCGTGCCACTTCATCCTATTTAGGATTCGTCAGCTGAATGTACCTGCATCTGAGAGTTGATGTTCACTACGGGACTCGAACTCAGTAACGTTTGCTTCAAACGCTACTACGTTATCCACTTAGCTACTGAGTTGTGATAGCCACTCACTCGGTATTGTTTACTTGGATCTTCCCATTGATGTTTAGGACTGCGAATGATCAGTCTCTCATTAGAACTCGAAGAAATCAATCTTGAAGCTAGTCAAAATTCCACTGCTAGCCACTATCCATCTTTACTTATAATGATTATGATTTAAAACAATATCTTGGCAATACGCACAGGATGCATATATTCCAATATGAAACTGATCAACTTCAGTCCTAAATATCAATCGGAAGATACGAGCAAAACAATATCAAGTGAATGTAAAAAGAAACTATTGGTTATATCAGGGAAAACTGAGATTTGTACTGCAAAAAGAAAACGATAAACACTGATAACAAATGAAGATTTCATTCAGTTAATCAAAATATGTAGCATCTTTTAACCTAATACTCTATATGACATAACTCCTGTTGATAAATGAAATTTCAGATTATTCTGTGTTGCAATCTCCTTTATCTTTCAATAGATTTATACATTTTACAGTTGAATTTACGAATCGATCTAAGCTAGATCACTATTGAAAACTTAGAAGCACGGTAATGTCGTTTCGTCATGGCATGGGACTCTTCAGCAGTGTGCATCCATGATTCCGCACGCAGTATTCAAACTCAGAACTTTTGATCTTGTGCGCGAACACTTAACCTCTAAACCACTAAACTGGCATTCAACAGTATAAATGTATAATTAAGGAGTAGTAAAGATGATACAGTGTAATTAAATTACAAACTTAGTTTCATTTACTTCTAATAGCTAATCAGAAGGTTTATTAAAATTCCTTGCTGATCATCAACAACCGGACAGTTTAAACGCTTACTGAAAATTATATTAGCAGAGGATCTATGCGTGAAGGAACAGAGAGCATGAAGTATTAATAAGGCCTAAAATTGTTAAGAAGATAATGAATGAATAGATCAAAGCCATTGGTAATTACTTCAAGATGTTTGTCACCTCAACTAGGATGTTTGTATCTTGCATTAAAATTCAATCTAATAGTCATGTTCGCACTAGTGACTAGCTTCCTGAGGGAACTTTTGGAGTTCTAGGGAGAAACCGTGACCAGTGGAGCTTAACCGTGTCGGGTAGAGACAGGTATCTATCTTAGTACAATGGAAGATGGTCACGTAATTTCATGCATTGGTTGAGGTTAGACATTAACACCGTTGGCCAACTCAGTTGTTTAGACGTTAAGCGTTCGCACAAAAGACTGAAGACCCTGGGTTAGTATCCTGTGAACGGGATCGTGGATGCGCACTTCTGAGGAGTCCCACAATAAGACGAAACGACCCTACAATGCTCCCAGGCTTTCAATAATGGTCTAACGTCAATTGGTTCATGATCTCAAAATCTTAATAATCTCCACAACCTTATACTGACAATCTAATAAACACTAGATTTATGAGCTTATATTACCGTCGTCATCTCAGGTACTTTTAACTCAAACAAATTTTTAAATGAAAACCAATAGCATACTTCATTTGTTATGAACCTTCTTTATTTGCTCTCCATACTGTTTTTTTAAATATACAGAGAGAGAGTTAGCGCAAGCTGATTTTTCGGCATTATTACTTTAACTTACTTCGTACAATATTAAAATCTATAAACCTCTAGTTCTACTTGTGACTAGTTGACTTGGAGAGCAAATATTCTATTACCACTACCATTAAAAACCTAAAGGTACTAGATGGCCATTATTGCTCAGTATGGGATTCCTCATTAGTGTTCATCCACGAGACTGCCACCAGGAACCAAACTCAGGATTTACAATCTCACGCTCAAACGCTTAACCTATAGACTAATGAGCCTATATACAATGACACTGATGTCTAACTTTAATCATTACTCTATGAATCTTCAGTTTCCATTAACCCACCCCCAGTTTCATCACATTCAATAGTAAAACTATTTCTATATTTTGCTTTATCTATCAAGGTCGATTGAAAATGCTTCCAATTGTGGATGAATTCGATGCAAACTACAAATTTATTGGTAGTACTTCAACCGATTTTTATATTATGACTAATTTAAGTGCACCATTTAATAGAATTATTAAAGTTAATATAAAAGATCCTGATTGGGTAAGTGGTAATGTAAATTTTGGAGAGAAAAAAACGTTTATATTCAATCACTTTTATTTTTATTATCTTATTCCTCATGGAGAAGAATAGGCCGCTCATCAGCATTCTCCATCCAACTTTGCAGTTCTTTCCAGTTGTTATTCATCATTTTCATATCTGATTCTATTTCCTCGGAGTAATGTGCTCTTTGGCCTTCCTCTTTTACGTTTCCCTTCAGGATTCCAAGTTAGGGGTTGTTTGATGATGTCCGTAATGTATTGCCTATCCGTTTCCATAGTCTTTTCCCAATTCCTTTTTCATCTGGAAGCTGGTTTCTTCTCTCTCACAGAAGGCTGTTGCTGATGGTATCTGGCCAATGGATGTTGAGTATCCTGCGTAGACAACTGATTATAAATACTCGTTCGGTTTTAATTATGTTTGTGGTAGTTCTTCACGTTTCAGCTCCGTACAGTAGAACTGACTTGACGTTCATATTGAAGATTCTGAATTCGATGTTGATTGACAGCTGTTTTGAGTTCGATATGTTCTTCAAGTGTAGGAATGCGGCCCTTACTTTGCCAATCCTTGCCGTTACATCTCCATCAGATTCTTCATGTTCATCTATGATGCTACTCAGATACGTGAAACTTCCAACCTCTTCCAGAGTTTCTCCATCAAGTGTGATTGAGTTGGTGTTCTCTGTGCTGCATTTAAGGATCTTTCTCTTCCCCTTGTTTATATTGAGCCCTACTGATACAGAGGCTGCTGATACACTAGTTGTCATCATCTCCATTTGTTGGAGTGTATGTGATAGAAGGGTCAGGTCACCTGCGAAATCCAAATCTTCTAATTGATTCCGAGCTTTTCATTGTATTTCATGCTTTCCCCCAGATGTCGAGGTCTTCATAATTCAGCAAACCGTCAGAAGAAAGAGGAAAGGGAAGAGTAGACAGCTCTTTCTGACTCCTGTCCTTACTTGGAATGCACCTGTCAGCTGTCCTCTATGCACCACTTTGCAGTGTAGTTCGTCGTACGAATTCTGTGTGGTGTTGATGATCTTTTCAGGCACACCATGGTGTCGAAGAAGTTTCCATAAGGTCCTCTTATGCATACTAACAAATGCATTTTCACAGTCAATGAAGATGATGTGCAGTGACGAATTTCATTCAATAGTTTATTCAACGGTGATCCATGGTGTCACGATTTGTCTGTGCATGACTGTTCCTTACGGAATCCAGTTTATTGATCTCGAAGTTGAATATCTACTGAATTTTTCATCCGGTTCAGCAACACTCAGGTGATACATTTCCCTGGAACTGACAGTAGTGTGATGTCTCTGTAGTTCTCACATTTCCCCAGGTATCCGTTCTTTAGTATCTTGATGAATGCCCAGTCCATCAGCACTTATCAATCGTTTCAAAATATTCCTGAATAGAACGTGGAGAATGTTTGCAGTTACTTCTATGTTTAACTTCAGAGCTTCAACTAGTGTTTTATCAGGTCCTGGAGCTTTCACACTTTTAATGCTTATTTATGAATGACTGTAAATATATTCTCTATCCAGTTTTGTTCAGTAAAGCTTCCTTTTCACACATGTAGCTATTAGTTCATGCTTGCATACATGAAGTTTGTATGTTAATATCAAACTTAGACAACATTACAACATATTTGCATTTACTGTTCATTATTAAAGATAGTTTACATTACAAATTCAATTCAACTGAAGAATAATCTAAGACCAGATAGTCAGTCATTCAGCTACGACGTAGCATCTGGCACATATACAAGTTGTCATATCTTATTAGCACAACAAGATGAACAGTGAATTCATAACAGTAGTCACTTCAATGGTAAGAATATATAAAAGAAAGATAACATATAAGGAAGAAAGAATTAGTTGGTAGAATGAAAGATATAAAGCGATTTCAATCTCATAGTTTAAGGGACGATAAAGAGTGTGTACACACGCTTAAACCATTGTGATCTATTCTGAGCAATTTTGCCCAGAGTCTCCAACCATTGGTGACGATAGTCGAATGGGCCCCAAACAAGTAGTTTGTATCTACCAACAGGGCCCAGACCAGAAGTGAATGACTTCAAACATTGATGCCACGTTTTGTTTTGGCCGCCCCTAACTTTCTTCCAACCATCTCCATCACTGGACAGCATTGCGTGTCGTGGTAATCGGTGTTTAGGAATTGGTAACACGTGGTCCGACCATCTCAGTAGGTGAAGACTCACTACCTCATCAACTGATCTACCATCACCACACTCTAATATCCTACGTCTAACCTCACTATTACTTACCCAGAAATCCCAGCAGATGCGAACAATATTTCTAAGGCATCTGCGGTCAAATACTAGTAGCTTATGGGTATCTTTTGCTTTTAGAGGCCACGTTTTGCAACCATAAAGTAGAACAGAACGAACTGCCGCACAGTATATTCGTCCCTTATTTGATAGACGGATATCTCGCGTTCGCCATAGGTGACGTAAGTTGTCAAAAGCCAAACGAGCTTTTCGAATCCGTTCTGAGATTTCGTTTGACACAAACCAAAAATCAGATAGAGCTGAGCGCTTATTTTGTCCTATCCTGGAATTCCACAATGATTGTACTAGAGAACTTTCACTATAATGAAGACTGAATTACATTTAGGCTAATGAGTTGGTATTCAATGGTTGACATATAGAACATGAGTCCACAATCTTAGAAAATGTGCAGTTGGAAGTGTTAATTTCAGTGATGTTTAGAAATTCATTGAATATGTATAGACAAACTAATATCTGTCCTAGTCAATGACTTCCACGAAATCTGTACTAGACTCTATAGGTGAACTAAACGTATTCTAGTTAGCGTTTCTAGTAAAGTTGTTTTCTACAGGATGGGGTTACTGAATCCATGCCCGATTCCCTTTTTTTACCCGAATTTCGGACTAGCAGTAACCCTAGAAGAGCTACAGGAGGAATTGTGAACTTAGATTTTACTTACTTACTTACGCCTGTTACTCCTAATGGAGCATATGCCACCGACCAGCATTCGCCAACGCACTCTGTCCTAGGCCTTCTTTTCCAATTGTATCCAATTCTTGTTCATTTTTCTCATGCTTATCTCCATTTTTCTGCGTAATGTGTTCTTTGGTCTTCCTCTTTTCGTTTGGCCTTGAGGATTCCATGTGAGGGCTTGTCTTGTGACGCAGTTTGGTGCTTTCCTCAATGTGTGTCCTATCCACTTCCAGCACTTCTTCCTCCGCTGGGCTGTACTTAATAAAAATAGAATAGCTATTTATCATACTCCTTGATCATTAAAATAAGATTTCCAATTGACAGTAGTCGATCATGAAAAGATTCATCTGGATTGACTGTCCTGAAACCTAATTAATATTATAACCTAGAAAAGATCAGATTACGAGTAATTCCTGCGACCTATTAATAGACTAATGTTACTGTATAACTATTCAGTAGCTAAACTATGCATATTCATGTTCCTCTTATAATAAGCTTCATTTTGATCTATGGACTATTATGATACGATTTATTGTTCTTAAGTTATACTCAGTTATTTGATTACAGCTTCCCACATTCAGAGCCACTTTTGGTTAAATCTTGGACACATATTATTTCCGGTGAGATTATAATTTATAGATGACCATTGAGAGACACTAAAGTGATCTTGAGAGTGTTTACCTAGTAACTAGGACTAAATGAGGGGCTACAAACCAGTGTCAAGAATTAGAATTAGCATTTACAGTTGGTGGTTAAGGTTAAGAAATAGATTTAAAGTTTTCATCAAAAACTGACATGAGCTGGAATGCCAAAACTGGCATGACTATAATTTATGGATGAACCAATCAGGTATAAGATAAAAGATCTCGGATTTCGGCGTGAAATTCACTTATCCATTTGGTTGAATAGAGTTTTGACATTATAGCTGATATCAGTTCGTGAAGAAAACCCTTAATCTAATTCCTAGACCTAACCATAAACGGTAAAGCATAATTTTAACTTTAACGTCTTTCGATGATCGTCCATAACTTATAGTCTTACATACTCACTGCCTTCTCGTGGCGGGAGTGTTGTTTACGAAATTGAGAGGACGAAAAGCGAATGTCCGGCGCTTTAACCGGGTTAGTGGACATGGAGAGTCCACCTAGGGGAGTTGGAAAACCTTTATTACAAACCAGTGGTGCATATGGGCACTAGTATCCTGCGGGAACAAATGGCGTATGAACCAATTGTTGGTCACTGGCTACCATGGGACTGCATCTCCTTACGTTGCCCCACCGCCTTGAGGAACAGGCTTTAAGGTCGAAGGCTTGGGGGGGTGACCCCCTAAGGGCAGTATCACAGCCCTCACACATATCAAATGAGATCTGTGTGGCGCATATGTATTAGGTGTTAAAATAAATGAATAAGTGAAATTTAATCAAACGGATGAACGAATTTAGCACCAAAAATCTGAGACATATTATCTTATACCTGATTGGTTCATCCATAAATTATAGTCTCTCCTTATTTCCTATTTTGTGGTGTTATCCATTCTATTTGATTAGTATATATAAACGAAGTATGTTTGAAATAAATGATTTGCATGTTGAAAGCTGATATTTGTGTTTTGAACTCAACTGGAAGGTCTAGGAGAGCAAAAGATCAAAAAAAGACTCAAGGCTACTCATACCAGTCAACACTTGATGGTTGTGGCACAGTGTTAAGATTGTATCAATCGTATTCCGATTAGGGAATAAGTTTGAAATCACATTAATTATAGATTTTCATGAACATTGGGATATCAAGTATATTCATCTATCAGACTCATGATATCAACCGTTGAAATTACTACAATCTCCACGAAACTCCTTTTGATATTAATCAACATATGCTCACTAGTGACTGGCTTCAAGAGATATATCCTGGAGTTCTAGTGAGAAGCAGTGACCAGTGGAATTTAACCGGGTCTGTTGTGAGGTAGTTACTCACTGATGACAGTGGTGGATGTGTCGCTCAATTTCGTGGATTAGTTGGAGTTGAATGCCGGCCAACTCAGTGGTCTAGTGGTTAAGCGCTTGGTGCGGGACTGATAGGTCCTGGATCCGAATCCCACGTTGCGAGGTCGTGGATGCGCACTGCTGAGGAGTCCCACAATAAGACGAAATGGCCGTCCAGTGCTTCCAGGTTTTCCATAGTGGTATAGCTTCAATTGACTCATGATCTCAACTGTTGATATATACATGTATGTTGTATAAAAGATTACAAAAGTGAAGATCTATCAAGATGTTTGATAATATCCTTCACCTATTATTAATATTCAGCATACACAAAGGGAAAACCAAGGTCCTCAAGTTCAATACTGAGAACAGCAATCCAATCACTCTTGACGGCGAAACTCTGGAAGATGTAGAATCCTTCACATACCTGGAAGCATCAGCGATGAACAAGGAGGTTCAGATGCAGACGTAAAGGTGAGGATTGGCAAAGCAAGGGTTGCATTCCTACAATTGAAGAATATATGGAACTCAAAACAACTGTCAACCAATATCAAAGTGAGAATCTTCAATACGAACGTCAAGGCAGTTCTACTGTATGGAGCTGAAACTTGGAGAACTACAACAACCACCATCAAGAAGGTACAAGTATTTATAAATAACTGTCTTCGCAAGATACTCAACATCCATTGGCCGGATACCATCAGCAACAGCCTTCTCTGGGAGAGAACAAATCAGCTTCCAGATGAAGAAGAAATTAGGAAAAGACGATGGAAATGGATAAGACATACATTACGCAAATCATCAAACTACATCATGAGACAAGCCCTAACTTGGAATCCTGAAGTTAAGCGGAAAAGAGGAAGGCCTAAGAACACATTATGTCGGATAATAGGAACAGATATGGAAAGGATGAATAGGAACTGGAAGGAGCTGGAAAGGATTGCCTAGGACAGGTTTGGATGGAGAATGCTGGTACGCGGCTTATGCTCTTTCACGAGGAGTAACAGTCGTAAGTAAGTAAGTAATTGTTAATATTCAACATGATCCAATTATGTGTATAGCTAGTTTATATTCTACATTCCTTTTTTTTTCTTAAATAATTATAGTCAAATTGGGAAGATTTAATACCACATAATCCATTAAGAAAATTAGAATATGCTACATGTATCGATCGGAAGTATTTGGCTTTAAGTTGTATAGAAAATGTCAGAGTAAGTGATTTGTTAAGAATCATTTATTTAATTGATTAATTAATATCAGATGGGTTTTGTGAATATTATAGCAATTTCAATGGTTAAGATAATGAATCAGTCGAAGCTAGACCACCAAGGAAAACCTTGAAGTACTGGATGGTCGTTTCGTCCTATTATGGGACTCCTCAGCCGTCCACATCTAAGACCTTGACCCCTCGCGAGATTTGAACCCAGGACCTACTGATTTCGCGCGCGAGCACTTAACCACTAGACCACTGAGCCGACATCCAACGGTGTTAATATCTAACTTCAGGTTTTCCATGGTGGTCTAGCTTCAACTGACTCATGATCTTAACCATTGAAACTAATTAATTGTTGGGCAGTTTTCTGATTAAATTAATGTCATTTCATGTAATCATGTAGTTTTCAATCTTATGTAAGTTAATATTTGAATTTATGAGTTGATTGAGGCAAGACAACCATGGAAATCTTGGAAGTAATAGATGGCCGTTTCATCCTATTGTGGGCCTTCTCACCAGTGCGCATCCACGATCCTGCACCGCGAAATTCGAACCAAGGACCTATTGGTCTCACACGAGAACTCTTGACATCAAGATAGCTTAGCCGATTTTAGTGTCTAAACTCGACTAATCCACAAAATTGAGCGATATATCCACCATTGTCATCACAACAGATCCAATTGAACTCCATTGGTCATCACTTCTCACTAGAACTCCATGAAATAACTCTTGATGCCAGTCACTGGTGAGCATATGCTGATTAGTATCAGAGAGAGTTTTTTGTGGATATTATAGTAATTTCGATATTTGAGATCATGAATCGATTGAAGCTAGACTATAATGAAAAACCTGGAAGGATTAGACGGTCATTTCATCCTATTGTCGAACTCCTTAGTGACAGTGCATATCCACGATCTTGTCTCACGAGATTCGAACCCAGAACCTATCAGTCTCGTGCGCGCGAATATAAATATTCAACCTTGATACTAGTTTGTTTTATTACAGTTAATTCATTTGTTTTCTATCTCTTTTTATTTCCTCTAAAATAATCAATTTAGAGTATTATTGCAATTTATGATTGGTATACTGGAAAATATTTAAAAACTATTTTAACACCAATTGGTCGAATCTATTCACTTACTGGTCATTATACTAGTAGTCAGGTAAATTGAAACTATTGAAAGCATCATTTAATTCCTTTCATAGATCTTTATACATTTTGCTACTTTTCATGAACCATGTACAATAATGTATTGTGATTTAGCAAAAGATAATTGGGAATTAAAGGTAAGTTATAATTATTGTTTATTGATTACATTATATGGATGTGTCACTCAATTTCGTGAATTAGTTAAAGTTAGGCATCAACATTAATGGGTGCTAGACAGTTCAGTAATCTAAACGTTAAGCGCTCAAGTGCGACACTGTTAGGTCCTGGGTTCGAACCTCACGAGTCGGGATCGTGGATGCGAACTTCCACTGAGGAGTCCTATAATAGGAAAAACACACTCGTCCAGTACTTCCACAAAAAAACTCTTCCGATATTACATAATCATCTATTTCATGTTTGTTATTGCAAATTGAATAGTGTTATTGTTAATTACCAGAACCGATATAGGTAAATTGGAGATTCAAGTGTATAAGAAGCTGATCCATACAGGTTGAATTCTCAACTACAATAACAAAAAACTAATAGCTCACAAAATCAACAAACTGACCCAATATCTGACTTCTATTAGATCGTATTATTGATTGTTGTTGAAATAAATATATATCGGCTATCTTCCTGTAATAATTATGAACTTAACTCGTATTATTCAATAATGGAATTAAATAAATCAAATAGAAGAATGAATGTGTTGATGAATACGTATATTTTGTATACTCATTAAGCTGAATAGACAATCAGAGGGAACGAAACGAAGAGAAAAGAATGAAACAAAACGACGTTCAGTGGAGAAGGTATATAAGTCAACTTGACTTAATCAAATGTTAATTAACAGTTATAGCTGAACAAAAATAAGTTATAAACATGTGATGAATAGAACAAGAGGCGAGACTCTAATTTAGGGACGACCTTTGAACGAATCTTGAATGACCTTGACAATTATTAGCCAATCAGGAGATAGTAAATGTAAAGTGAAAATATATTGTCAGTATGTAATGAATTACAGTGGATATTCTTCTTTTACACGATTTAAAAACTTGTTAAGGTTTGATAAAGGTTCAGAGGTTCCGAATTAATAATGCATATGGCATAGAAACTCGTCCATACGATTAGGGTTTAGGTTAGGGTTGTAGCATCTCAATAAACACCTCTTATATAAAATCCGATGTAAACCGATCGCATGTTAGCACCCTAACCCCTAACCTAACCCTAATCTTAACTCTAAACTTAACCCTAATCTTCAACCTAACCCTAACCCTAATCTTAACCGTAAACCTAACCTAATCCTAAACCCTAACCCAATCCTAACATTAACTCCAACCTAACCCTAAACCCTAACCCAATCCTAACCTTAATTCTAACCTAACCCTAAACCCTAACCTTAACCCTAATCTTAAACCTAACCCTAACCCTAAACCCTAACCTTGTTAATGTTTGATAAAGGTTCAGAGGTTCTGAATTCATAATGCATATGGTATAGAAACTCGTCCATACGATTAGGGTTTAGGTTAGGGTTGTAGCATTTCAATAAACCTAACCCTAACCCTATGGACGAGTTTCTATACCATATGCATTATGAATTTAGAACTTCTGAGCCTTTATCAAACCTTAACAAGTTTTTAAATCAGGTAAAAGAAGAATATCTACTGTAATTCATTACTTTCTTGTAATATATTTTTACTTTATATCGTCTTCTGATTGGCTAATAATTGAAATTTCTCAAACGTTTCTGATTGGCTCGTCCCTAAAATAGAGTCTCGCCGCCACATCTGTTGTCCCCTCTCATTAATCACCTACTCTCTAAAATCCGCTGTTAACCGATCGTATGTTAGCATCGCGTGTTGGACTTGGCTCCATGACCTTGAAATTGCTCAAACGCTTCTGATTGGCTCGTCCCTAAATTAGAGTCTCGCCGAACAATAATTGCTCACACACACACACACACGAATACACATACGCTCATAGAAAAACAGTCCTAGTTGCTAAGTGAATTATTGACAAGGTCAACAATAAGACTCAAGAATGATGGATAAATTGGTCTGTCAAATGTTATCTTAATCATTGCTGATTTTGCTTGATTACTCTTGTTTAAGTAATCTAATTGACTTAGTACAACATTTAAGTTTATTCAATGGGTTTTTTTATGTAGATTGGATTGAATTTCTAGGAGGTATCCATCAAAGATTAATTCTTATTTGGGTACTATTGAAATCTAGGAAGTAATAAACAGCTCTCACATCATGGAAATCCATTGTAGTTCATAATCTAGGATTCTATCCATCTTCTTCAAGTCTGATGTTAAATGATTAGATGTTAGAATTATAGGGTTGTGCAGTCAGTTTGTGAGATAATGTGTCGATCATCTAATGTCAATGATAAAAAACCTTTTGACTTCCAACATATCAGAACTTTCTCAGCCACAACGTTTCACTTGAACATCAGGAATATTTTGAAGTCACAAGTGAACTGAATACGATAGATTAAGTGAAAAACTCTTATAAGAAATAGTTTGATTATTGGATGAAACACTTGTCTAATGTTCCATGACTTCTGACAGTATCAAAAAACCAGTTGTTTAAGTATTCAACCAAACAGTTATGGAGCATTCTTCACTTCATTCATGACAATTACTTATAACTCACAATCAATACACCTTACCTTAACCCATTTTTTAGGTCCATAAACCAGACTCATCATTTCAGTGGTGTTGTGGTAACTCTATTTTAAAGCATGATACTTTGGCCAAATACAAATTTAGTTGGATGAATCTATTTCAAGCATTCATAAGTACTTTCATACACTTGATCAAAGTCGCATATATTATAATGATAGAATGAATGAATGAATGGACAAACTTGAATAGTCCATCTATAAAACAGTGAAGATAAATCGTTTAAGCTTGTAGCAATACTAACTGGTTACATTGTAAACACTTAACCATAAATCTTGACTCTAATTCACACTTTTAATCTTTGTTCCTAACCTGAAAATCTTAATTGAAACATTTAACTGTAAATAGCAAACAACAAATACAAACCCTAACATTTAACCTTAAATTCTAGTGTTGAGGATTTTGTCCTACTATGCGACTCCTCAGTGGAAGTGCGTATCCACGATCCCGTTGCTGATGAGTTCCATACTAGGACGAAACGGCCATCTAATGCTTTCAAGTTTTCAACTATTAAATTATTACAATCTTCACAAACCCCTTTCTTTCTAGTAATAAATTATTATTATCAGAAGGGGTTTTGTGGAGACTTTAGTAATTTCAATAGTTAAAATCATGAGTCAATTGAAGCTAGAACATGGAAAACCTTGAAGCACCGGACGGTCATTTCGTCATAGTATGGGACTCCTCAACAGTGCGCATCCACGATTCCGCCACCCGCGAGATCCGAACTCGGGACCTATCAGTCTGACCCGCGATTTCGTAAATTTGTTGAAGTTAGACATTAACACCATTAGATACCGGCTCAGTGGTGTAGTGGTTAAGTGCCCACGCGCGAGACTGATAGGTCCTGGGTTCGAAACTCGCACGGGCTGAGATCGTGGATGCGCACTGTTGAGGAGTCCCATGGTATGACGAAACGGCCGTCTAGTGCTTCCATGTTTTCCATGTTGTTCTAGTTTCAATTGACTCATGATTTCAACTATTGAAATAAATCATTAATTTATATTTCTATTCACATTACAATTGGTTTAAAAATAACTTTGTTTTACATGAAGTCATCATATTTCAAACTTTCATTTCTCTTCAATAACAACAAAAACGATAACAACAACAACAACAGTTATTCCGTAAATCTCAACCAATGGAGTTAAACGATAAAGAATATGATATTAAACAAGTATTTTATCAAAGTAAAGATTCAACAACAATTCCAATGTTTATATTTCATCGAAAAGTAAGTGAATATATATGCAAAGTTTTATGAAGACAACTATCCACACATCTATCTATCTATCTATCTATCTATCTATCCATCTATCTATCTATCTATCTATTCTAACATTCAAATGTTCAAATATCTGGGATTGCATGGCTCATCGATAAAGTGTGGTAGTTGAACGAAGATAGGCTACCGTAAGGTTTGAATAAGCCATGGTATATTATGCCTATAATTGAACAATGGACATATCGAACTTTACTAAAGATGTTCTTTAATGTTTCATGCATTCCTAAACCTCATTTTAATGGGTAATAAGCGAACTTAAACCTATCGCCACACGTCATTGTTATGCTAACCTCGAAGATAAACTTTAGGAAGTTTACAATCTTTTGTTAAAACAATAGACTTATCGTAATATTGATTTTTGTGGTTTACATCACAACCTGACTCTAGTTAAACATACTTGGAAACTCTATAAGCATTGGACAGGTTTTACATCTTAGTATAGGATTTCTTAGAAGTGCATCTCAGCAATGTAATCACTAGGACTCAAACCAAGAATGTTCAGATCTCACGGTGAGAGTTCACTATCGAGACTGCTGAATTTGAATTCAGTGGTTTACGATTCTAACTTCATTCAATTCATCCTAATATGCAATTACATTTTAATTCCATTGATGAATAGCTGTTTCACAATTGACCTGACTGAATTACATTGGTCACATTTCATTAGATTTCCATCAACTGCGGCTGAAACTTTGAATAAGTCAGTTTAATGATGTATATTTATCAAAATGTCCCATACTATAACACAAAGGAAGTGATGTTTTATGTAACCAACTATCATAATTATAAGTGTTTTCCGTCAATCCCACCATTTGATAGGATCCTATTCTTGTCTTCAACTATAATAACGGGTAAATAATATATTTCATCCTTCATTTACAATCAATACACTAGGTACACGATCAATACACTGGACTAGACGATTAGATTAATTGAACTAAACTATGTCAATAGGATGTGATACTTGATCGTATCACACACTCAACTCACTTATATGATCGTTTCCATTTACCGATCCATAATCATGAAACAAATATAGTCTAGAATGACAATAGGTTGCCAAAATTTGAAATAAAAGACGAAACAGTTTTAAATATTAGGCCGTTTCTAAAATTAAATAGAGCTGGGAATGTCTTATCGATTAGACTATAACTTATCAACGAACCAATCAGCTATAAGATAAGGAGTCACAAATTTCGGCTCGAAATTCATTCATACATTTGATTAAATAGAGTTTTGGCATTATAGCTGATGTCAGTTCGTGATGAAAACCTCACCGTTAACCATCAACTGTAAATGAGAATTCTAACTGCTTTATAACCCTTGTTTAGTTCCAATCTGTAGGTGTCCATTCTCAAGGTCACTTCAATGTCGCTCAAGAGTCATTCATAAATTATGGTCTCATTTTCTTATCCTTACTTACTGACCAATGTAGGATTCCTTAGATCTGACATATCAACTTACATATGTGTTGTAATGTTCTATAGTTGATAGATTTCTCTCCAGTTGAAAGAACATATTACATCTTGGGGAACAGAGGGAAATGTACTAAGAAGCATAAGAATAGGACGATAATCACATATGGCGCACATACATTCAGTAATAAAAATAAATAAAAACTCTTGTTAGTGCTGCAATAAATGGGCAAATTATGAATAATGTCTACATTTAATCTAAGAATTGCAATAGTAGTTGAATAAAGACAGGCTACTCTAAGGTCGGAACCATGGAGCTGTAGTGACCTACTTTTATCAAGAGAACGCGATGGGTGTAATGGAAACACTTTATATTATAACCAATTGTACCAGCGGTTGTTTTACTGTACTTGTTTGTTTGATTGTACCAAAACACATACATCCTCCCGTTGATTGTGACCTTTGACGAGTTCGGTTACGCTCAGTAACCACACTTGTACTCCTTTGGCACGATCTCGGTATTATTTCAATACCACGAGATCGCCAACAAATACATCTCGACTACAGCCATCGAATGCCTTCTGATATTTAACTTAAGGGGGATCTTATCGGTTAACTGGCACGTAGTCTTCCTGTAGTGGTGATCATAATCAACCGCGACTAGACGCCACACTACAGACCTATCGTACTACAGTTTAGACATTTACAATTGTTTTTTACTCAATTTCAATATTATTCAAATGTGCTATGGGATGGCAAATATTCGAAACTTCCCACAGTTTTCTTCCTAATAAACATCTTGTTTATATATTGTAATCACTATGACATCCGGTTTCAGGTTGCTTTTTGATTGTCATCAGAAATGTTAATGAACTAAGTTGAATTTCTGTTGTTTATAATTTTGTCTTGATTGACTTCATGACATATACATGAACTAATTTTTGAGGTACATGGTGAGTTGTCACTTCTCAGATGCACAAATTGGAATGATACTTCGTGTGAGATCTGACAAGGAAAATATGTTAAGAATGTTTGGGGTGACCTGTGAGCATGATACCAAAGCTTGAGTATCAACTACCTTAAGGTGATCGTAAATGTCCATTTTGTGAACATTTCTTAATGTAGTAGTTTTGTACATTTTAGACTGTGCTCCAGACGACGGAAATCCAAGGGTCTAGGTGATTTGTGCTTTATTTCGATCCAATCTTTTCTGACTCTCTACATCAGTTGTACGAAGGCAGAGTCGTCCTACATGCTGCCTATCTCAAGGAAACACCTTATTCTGGTCACACCATCATTTGGAATCAGTAGTATATATTTTTCTTCGGACCTTATTAAACTCTTTTTAGTTTTACAACTCTTCAAGTTATTTAACATCCATTATAGTACCAATATAAGGAAGTGTGTTCCAGGCAGTACACTTAAGTGAGATTATCCTGATATTAAAGCTTGATTATCGCGTCAAGCTATCGAAAACTACCACATCCAATGCTACCGGTAAAATTGTCAGTGTTGATGTACACCGAAGAATCATCTTATAGTTTACATTATGAACTGACTTTGGTTAAACAAACATCGAAACTATGAAACGTTTGTGCATTTGCTTTATTCTAGTGTATAATCCCTTAATAATGTAAATCTATATCTCAATCAGGTGTAGAACCTATGGTCTTCAGAGTTGTGAATGGAACAGTCAACTTAGTAAAATGTGCAAGTTAGATGCCATATAATAATGACATTTGATGTTAATCGTGAAGTATCGGGAACCGATTGGAGTCCAGAATGTTTTAAAGGTAGTGGCTAACTCTAAAATGACCGAATATTGATAGTATTTAAGTACATATCCTACTTCGTCAATAAATCTCGTTAATGGAAACGTAGATAGAAATAGTTGAATACGAATGTATTCGATGAACATATGTTTCAGACATTCGTTAATAAAGGTGAACGGTAAGAGATGAAAAGTAATGCACGTAAACCTGAGCAACAAAAGTAATCAAGGTAATGTTATCAAACGTATTACTATATTGTCGGTTGCTATGTTAAACTCACACAGCAACTGACACTATCTTACCTTATGTTTATAGTCAGACAGGCCAGAGACAAAGTAGGTAAATAAAGTAAATGATAAACAAACATAGCACACATAAGCTCATGTAAAAATACAATCAAGGTATACAAGTGAGTAAATAACAATGTCAAATATATAACTCAACAAGATTAAATTAGTTTGTCTATCGAAGAATTAGGTGTATAATAATTGCCAAGCTGCTACAATCTATATTCATATATACGACAGTGACAATCATGTATGTACACTGCCAATGAGGAGTCCCATAATAGGATGAGACGGCCGTCCAGGGATTCCAGGTTTTCCATGGAGGTTTAGATATAATCTACTCATGAATTCATCTATTCAATGTTAAACGGATTTAATTTGATTTTTTGAGAACATTCTTATTATGTGTTTGAATGTTGTTCCATTATGTTTTTTGTTGTTATTGAGAATATCACTTTGAATAGTAGAAATCCATGTAAACTAAGCGCATTCGGTGGATTTGGCTACATAAATCAACCATATTATTCAGCAAGTGAATTATTATTTGTTGAAAAATTTAATGGAATATATGCACTGGCCAATATACGTGGAGGAGGGTAATTACCTTTTTGCTATTAATTATTTATTGATCTTTGAGTAGTGATTAGTGTCCTGTGTTTGCTAGTCATTTGATGTTGATAGATATTTCGCAATCAAATTACAGTATGATTACTAGTCGAAGTTGAGTGTTTTCCTCAATGTGTATCCTCTACACTTCCAACGATTCTCCCTAATTTCTTCTCCCACTGTAATCTGCTGTGTTCACTCACACAATACGTTGTTGGTGATAGTGTCTGGCCAACGGATTCGAAGTATTTTGCTTAGACAGCTGTTCATCAACGCTTTTTTATCTTCTGTATGATGGCTTTCGTAGTTTTCCATGTTTCAGCTCCATACAGTAGAACGGTTTTGACATTTGTATCGAAAATTCTGACCTTGGTGTTGGTTGACAGAGAGTTGTTTTGAATTTTAGATATTCTTCAGTTTTAAATATGCTGATCCTCGCTTTCACATCTGCATCAGATCCACCGTGTTGATCAATGATGCTGCCTAGATATGTAAAGGTTTTTACATATTTCAAAGCTTCTCCGTCAAGTGCGATTCAATTGATGCATGCTGTGTTTTACCAGAGAATCTTATTTTTTCTTTTGTGTATGTTGAGACTTACTGCTGCTGAGGCTGCTGCTACACTGCTCGTCTACTCCTGCATTTGTTGTTGCGTGTGATTTCAAGATCGTCCAGCAGCATCATAACTGTCCGCCTTCATGATCTAGTCGATCACAAGGGGAAGGAGAAAGAGTGACAGTCTGTCGTCTGTCCTCCATGCACAATTTCGCAGTAGGAGGTGGCAGTTGGGGATAATTGACAGAAAACTCCAAACCATGGTTTTATACAAACTTGCACCGATCAGTTGATGAAACTGTCGCCTTCTATGCAATTCAAAATAACATTTCTCAGTTTCACAGTCTAAAACGTTATCACTGTTCCATTGGGATTGTAACCAACTTCTTTTTTCTAGCGAGTCGAGATTGATTTATTTTTAATCGGATTATATGGTAATTGGTAATACAACGTCTTTGGTTAAGCGTTTGCATTAACATCTACTTATGATTTTGATGGAGTTTTGTTCTCTGAGTTGGATGGTTTGATCGTCGAGCTTTCATCGTTCGTCTGAACGACATCATCCGCACAAACTTCAGGTAGAATTAAAGTGTTCGAATTTCTGCACATGTGGTTCACAGCTTGTACTGTAGATCTCGATGTTGATTGGATCTTTTTGACCTTGAACCTGTTGTTGTTTACTTCTTTGTTTTGATTGTATCTCCCAAAACGGACGCCCTTTTCGTTTTCGCCTACATGAACATTCATCCACTGTCGAACGCCATGACATATTCTAACTTATGTCAATCCGCCTGGGCAACTACACACACACATTCGACTGGAAAAATGTAGAAATCTTGAATAGAGGCAACCCTGAAAACACCAAAGATTATTTAGAAACCTGTCACTCAGGTGAATCAGCAATCAACAAGCACGTTGGGGTAGATCCGATTCATCAACCAACAAATATAGGACCAAGAATCAAACCAATGGGAGATACAACCAAACCAAAGAAGTGAAAAATGACAGGTCAACAAGAACCAATCAACATCAAGATATACAGGACAGGTTGTGAGCCTAAAGTTTGTGCTGATGATGTCGTTCATACGAACGATGAAAGCCCCACGACTAAAAGATATAGCTCAGAGAACAAAACTACATCAAAATCATTCACCTGAGCTACAAATCTTTACCATCTATTTACGAATTACCATGAAATGATTATATTCTGTTGTTGTTGTTGTTGTATCGAAATATTATAACGATAATGTCATGATTAACATCGTTCGTCTGTTTTATCTCATTCATGTCTATTTGAAAGTTAGATAGTAGCAAACAAGTAACTGAAATGTAGAGATCTGTGTATTTTCATTTGAAATGTTTGAAATTCATCTAAACAAAAATTTCATAGTTGAATTCATGAATTACAGCTAGACCATCATAGAAAACCTGGAAGCAATGGACGGCCGTTTCGTTCAGGTATGGTACTCTTAAGTGGTGTGATCGCGGATGCGCACCGCTAAGGAGTCCCATACTAGGACGAAACGTCAGCTATTCACTTTTTGTGTATTCACCAAACTATGTTTTTTTCATTTATTTTTACTGTATTGTTCTTTAGTGAATTCGGTGAAGAATGGCACAAGAGCGGAAGTGATGTTTATAAATCTACAGCGATCGATGATCTACTGGCAGCTGCTGAATATTTAATTCAACAAAAATATACTAATCCTGATAAGTGAGTAATATATTTCATGTTATTACCGACTTTGTAGAAGGTTTATCTTCATGATTTGATACTATAGTACTTTATGGTGGTTACAACTACGTTTCAATTGATTATTGTAACCAACCGATGCTTAAAAAGTTTATTTACCAGTCAAAACTTCCTTAAGGAGTGAAAATGACTTTAACTGATAAGCGTCAAGTAAATTGAGGCTTAGTTCAAAAATTTACTGACACAGGTATGGAGCCAATTAACGTAAATGAATTTTAAATGATGAACGTTTCAGATTACACTTTACAAATATTTAGATAGAATAATAAAGACAATATAACAATATTATATTACTTAAGTGGATAACGCAATGGCGTTTGAAACCAACGATACTGGGTTCGAATCCCGATGTGGACATGAACTCTGGGATGCAGGTACATACAGCTGTCGAGTTCCAAATGGGACGAAATGTGTGTCCTGGATTTTACTGCTAGCCACCATCCATCATTGTTTTCAATAAATAACTAGTCGTATGGGTGTTCGAACGAATTCCTCCATTTAAAAAACACGTTTGTTCTAATAAGTAAATCAAGTTTAATTTTAGTTTCATTGCGGGTTATTAATGACTGAAAGATCGTTTAAAAAGCAAAATTTATAACGATTTGCTTCATTCAAAAGTAGATCACTACATTTTATATATACTTTAATAATAACTTATATCAATTCATGATTTCAATGGAATCTGACAATCTGCACGACCGCTTAATGACAATTATCACGTGCTCACTAAAGACTATCTTTGAGAGGAAACTTCCGGAATTTTAAGGAGAGGCCGTGATCAACAGAACAAATCTTTGTCTAATGTGAGCCACTTACTCAGCACAAACGAAAGAAGTTGGTCAAGGAACATCGTAGGTTGATTGAAGTTAGACATTAACACAGTTGAATATCGGGTCAGTGGTATGGAGTTTAAGCGTCTGTGGGAAAGACTGAAGGTACTGGGTTCGATCCCTGACTTTGGATCGTGGGTGTGCATCACGACGTATTCCCGTACTAGAACGAAATTTCCGTCTAATGCTTCCGGGTTTCCAATGGTGGTTTAACTCATATAGGTTCATGATTTAAATTAAACATTTTTTAGTGTTCATCATATTTAAACTGGACAATCAGTGAAAACCAGGAAGTACTGTGTATCTCCTTCGTCTTATTGTAAGACTCTTCAACATTTCTTAGTTGTTCCCTGTTAGCGATCGAACACTTTAACTTAGACCTAGTCAATTTTCCTCCATAATAAAATCTGGAAACTGAACTATTTGCGCTAAATTCTTCTATAAGAATAACCAATTTAATTATTGCACAAAACGTGCAGGTTTAGTACTTGTAAGGCTTTTTAACCTTCCATTAATCGGTGCAACTAATCAGCCTGTAATGCTCGAATGCATCACATAATTCTGATAGCCATCATCTTCTCATTGGACTATTAAAATTTATCAAAGGGATTAATCGTTTTAAATGATCAGCTCGTATTCTTCCATGTGCATCCTGAACTAATTGTTTCGATAATAATTTAGTCATTTGAAGCAAAAGGTACTAGATACAAGTATTATTGTGAATATCAACATTTGGAATCCAGGAAATACAGTTAATGAAGTTCAAATATAGCGAGACATGTGTCCTGGATTCTCCTGTTAACCGCAAATTAAATACAAGTTTGCATTTTGATCGTTAACATTAATAAGATATTTAATAGTTGAATTCATCAGTCAATAAAAACTAGACCACATAGAAGCACTGGACGGCCGTTTCATCCTAATATGGGATTTCTCAACAATGCTCATCCAGGACTCCACTCGAGAAACTTGAACCCAAAACCTTGGGACTCACGTATAAATGCTCAATTTATAAGCCACTGAGCTGGTATCCAAATGTGTTAATATGTCTAATTTCAACCGATCCACGAAATTGAGCCACTGTCTATCCGTGTCTTCAGTAAGTTACTATCTCACAGCAAACCCGGCTGAGCTTCACTGGTTATGGCTTCTCACTAGAACTCCAGAGAACGCTTCTTGAAGACAGTCATTAGTGAGCTTCCAGGTTTTCCATGGTGGTCTAGCTTTAATCGACTCATGAATTGAACTATTAAAATACTTCTATTTGTTTTTATAGAGAACATTTAAATGACAAAATCAACATCGAGATGAAAATGCTTATACGTAACCTCTCTTACTGCATTCCAATGAGATTCTTAGTTAGGAAAAGTATTTGTATACCTTTTGAATGTATCGATATATACTATGATACAGTAACTACGCAAAGAAAACAAGGAAATATGGACCGAATGTTTTGCTATTCAATTCTTTATTATTAAATAACCATTACATTAAAATTCATTCATAATTTAAAGACAATTTCTATGCTCATTCATTACTTCATACAGGATTGAAATTATTGATTTAAAGTATCACGTATTGTGTAATACCAGTTTTTTTACTACTGAACATCCAGCTGATGAGTCCTAAACAAGATGAAGCGAGCGTCCTGAATTCCATTGCTTAACATGATCCATCATTCTCTGATTATAATGGTTGTGACTTAAGAGACGGATTAATTTAAATCTTAGGATCAAAGATCAATGACAAAACAACCAATATAAAAATGAATAATTCAATAGTAATCAAGTTACTATTTAAGTTTGAAATAGCCACAAAGTTCTCAATTTTAGTACTATGTACAGTACTGAAAGCATTCATTTAAGTCATAAAAAAACTGTCTTACAACCTGATGACATTTTCATGAGAGTTGTGGAACTATGGTTTACTTCGCTATTAGTACTGCTCTAATAATAGACCTAATCAGTTTAGGGGTTGTGGAGATTGTTAAGTTTTTGATCGAGATCATGAACCGATTGATATTAGACCAATATTGAAAACCTAAAAGCACTAGACCTCATTCTACAATCGTACATTTCTTAATATTTAACTGCCTAATCTATAAGATTTTACGTGAAAGTCATATCATTGTCTACGCTGACTTGTCGTATCGTAACAATCACCAATACATTATGGAGAACACATTCAGGCTGGAGATAGAACTATATATTTAATATAAGTAAACACAAGTTATACAGAACGATCACGTCTACAAGGCTGAGCCATGCTACCCAATTGGATTCCATTGAATTCATCCCTCCCACCTTCTCTATCGTTCCCCTCGCGTTAAATGTTGAATATCTATTTTCCCAGTTGTTTTATGTTCAACTTTGAAGATTGTGTAGTTAATGCCTGATACCAATACAGAGTTTTGATATACAATTTCAGATTTGTGTTTACTTTGCTCCTAATAATCTAATGATAAAAAAACGCTCAATTTTGTTCAGTATTTATTCTTTCTTCAATGTAATGTGTATTGTTGTTTCCTTTCATTAGTCTTATATTACAAGGCAATGAAAATGGTGCTCTTCTTGCAGCTTCCTGTGCAAATAAACGGCCATATCTATTCAAAGCAATTATTTTAGACAATCCGTTAACTGATATGTTACGTTATTATAAATATTCATCAACTGCCAGATGGATGAGTGAATATGGGAATCTATATTATGAAAATGTATTTAATGCATTATTTAGGTATGTACAGTTATTTAATCAAAAGAAAAGTTTTATTTCCATGTAATTTATTCATTAAATTATTTATTAGTTGAATTCATGAGTCATTTGAATCTAGACCCTGATACGGTCGAGAACGAGAACAGTCTGTAGCATGGAGTCGAGTCGCACTTGACTATGATCACCACTACAGGAAGGGTGCGTATCAAATATCAGAAGGCAATTGAAATTTGTAGCTAAGTATTTTTGTTGGTGATCTCGTGGTATTGAAATAATACCGCGATCGTGCCAAAGGAGTAAAAGTGTGGTTACTGAGCGTAACCGGATTCGTGAAAAGTCACATCCAACAGCTAAACAAACAAGTACAGCAAAACAATCACTGGTACAACTGGTTATAATAATAATAATTTCCATTAAACCAATCGCGTTCTCTTGATAAAAGTAGGTCACTACAAGTCAGCTCTCCCTCTCCAAATGTTCACACATGGCCACGCGTACACAACCACTGACAAGGAAGTCCTACTCACTGCCTTCTTGTACCACGGGTGTTGTTTACTAAATGGAGAAGACGAAAAGCGAATATCCGGCGCTTCAACCAGGTTAGTGCATACGGAGAACCCACCTAGAGGAGTTGGGAAACCCTGGTTCCAAACCAATGACGCACATGGGATCCAGGATGATGAAGGAAAAATGGCACATGAACCTATTGTTGGTCATCGGATGCCATGGGATTGCATCTCTTTACGTTGCTCCACTGTCCCGTGGAACAGGCCGTAAGGTCGAAGGCTTGGGGGTGGTCCCCTAAGAACACTACTTGCTTCGACCTGCACACCCGGGCAGTATCATAGCCCACACACAAATCAAGTGACTTGTGTGACGCATGTGTTCGGTAACCCTTTGTACCAATATTTATGTTTTCAAATAAAACAAATAAAAATAACATACCATCATGGAAAACTTGAAAGTACTTAACGTCCATTTCCTCTTAGTGTGGGACTCCTCCGAAGTGCGAATCTACAATCTTACACGTAGGATCCGATCACAGGACCTTCTGTCTCTCACGTAAACGCATAACCTCTAAACCACTGAGCTGGCATGCCCAACTTTAAGGTTTGTTATTCTCACGACAATGTTAGTTCGATCAAACCTGATTCTAGATGCGCTTTCATGGTGGTTAGTTAATATAAAGTTTTTACTAACCATAGAAGATTTACGCATGACCAATTTACTATGGAGACCTGACTTTATATAGGATTGAATCCATAACTATCATGTTTTATCCTAAGTATTAAAATTACTTAATTTTGAAAACTAAAATACTGTTATCGTTTGTATTATTTTTATTATTATGCCATACATAGTTATTCACCAGTTCATAATGTGCCAAATTTATCCATGACCAAATCATATTATCCTTCAGTGCTTATTTTATCTGATCTACAAACTGCCAATGTAGAATATATTCATTCATTAAAATTGTTAGCTACATTACAAAATGAATTACATAATAATGGTTGTACATTTGAACAAACAAATAATACACTTGGATGGTTTAAAACGGAAGGTCAACATAAGGTGAGGATCATATATAGGTCAAATTAATTTGGTATTATTTGCTTGAATCTTTTCATTGACGTTTAGAGCTCCAATTCATCGGTCTCTTATTGGCATATGGGTATCGTGTGCCGATTGTCTTGATATTGTCATAAGTCATAAGCTTTATAAGCGAAGACGGATAGTGGCTAGCAGTGTAATTAAGGACGCACGTTTTGTTCTATTTGGAACTTGTCATCTGGATCTACCTGTGTCCCAGAGTTGATGTTCACCCCGGGAATCAAACCCAGTGCCGTTCACTTCAAATGCCATCGCGTTATCCACTAAGCTACTGAGTCTTGATAACTCGAAAAGAGAAAACAAAGGTAATGAGGACAGTAATGTAAAAAACAATATGGAACTCATCACTTTGGATAACAAACTATAAAGAATACAAACTGTTTTTGAACACCCAAAGAGGGTCTGAATTTTCATATGGCTAAGGCTTCAATAAGCCTTAAAATACGCCTTTTTACATTTCTTACAACACCGCAAAAACCCAATTAAGATCAATTTTATGATCAGTTTCAACCATGTGTTTGGAGATAGAGGATGATGGATATTGATCGCGTACCTTGACTGATTTTCCGTGGACAGAGATTCTAATCGATATCGAATTAAAGATGCGTGTTTCAGTATTATATTTCAACATTATGTAGAAAATATATTAGCATGAAGCGTATCAAAAAACTAAGTTACTGATCCTACTTCTAGCCACTAACTGAAGTTGCATTAGTACCACAACGGCCCACTTAAACATAGAAATAATCAATTCAATCGTGCATTCGTTTCTATCAATCTTCCCATTTTAGATTTTTTACTAAATATAAGTACTTAAGTACCTTCATAAAATATCTGTAACCTATCGTAAACCCAATTTCTGGGAAACTCATTTGTCCATACAATTTTCTTCTACTCTATTCTTTTGAGAGACAAGTGCCAGTTACTAGAAAATCAGCACACCTGATATGTTCGTCTATGAAAGGCATTAGAGTATATCATACTGATGATCTTGAGTCAATCAATCAAAACTAAGAATTAATCCTCCCAATTTTTTCCGCGAAATTCGATAACCAGTGAAGGTTAGAATATATCTAATTTTGAAATATGAAAAAGCGGATCTTATTTCTCAAAGTTGGCAAAATTAAAATACTTAATCCTGTCACTCCTCGTACACGGGCATAGTCCGCCCACCAGTATAATCTGGTTGGCGTTTTTTAGCAAGATTTTTTCTACGGGATGGGGTTGTCGAACTTATGCCCAACCCTCCTTTTTTACCCGGGTTTGGGATCGGCAGTAACTCCAGAAGAGCTACAGGCAGAGTTAGAACTAAAATAGGACTGCTCTTTTATCTCAAATCGTATCATTCCATGATCCTGATGCACATAACAAAGTTGTCTAACTGAAAATGATAACACTATATGCGATTGCGAAAATATAAAGTAGGAAAATATTGTTTTAAATTTAAGTATATCTAATCATCGTATGATTTATTCGCCAATCGAAGTACGACTTATACAATCTTAGCATTATGCTTAACCAATGACTTTCGACCGGTATGAGTAGTCCAGAGTCCTAATCGGTCTTTCTTCCTTTTTAGTCCTGCATGTTGAGTCCAGAACACCAGTATCAGCTTTCACTATGTGAATTTTTTTTATTTCAAACATACTTGGTTTGTGTACCAGCCAAACAGACCACATTATACCATAAAATAGAAATTAACATTTGTACAAGATCTAGCACAAAAGTGGCTGTGAATGTGAGAAGCTGTAATTGATAGACTGGGTATAACTCAAGAACGGTAAATTATATAATAATAGTTTATAGATTAAAATGAAGCTTATAGTAAAAGGAACATAGATATACACGATCTAATTATTGAATAGTTATACATTAAGGATAGATATGTCATGTTAGTCCATTAATTGTTCTCAGAAGTCTCCCGTATATTTATCTTTACTAGGATATAACAAATATCACCTAGGCTATCCTTTAAAGGATATAAACTAACTCGTAATAGTTATGATGACAATAATGGAGAACTTAATGGATATAATCTTGTAGCGTGGAGTCGAGTCGCAGTTGACTATGATCACCACTACAGGAAGGTTGCGTACCAAATATCAGAAGGCAATTGAAGGTTGTAGCGAAGTATATGTGTTGGTGATCTCATGGTATCGAAAGAATACCGAGATCGTACCAAAGGAGTACAAGCGGATTTACTGAGCAAACGTAAGTTCGTGCAAGGTCATAAACAACGAAAGGAAGAATGGGAGAATAATGGATTTCTTTAGTACAGTTAAACAAACAAGCACAGCAAAACAATCACTGGTACGATTGGTTATAATAATAATTGCTTCCAGTAAACCAGTCGCGTTCTCTTTACATAATTAGGTCACTACAATCTATTCTTGAGAATTGTTATGATGATTATTATCATTCGCTTTTTATTTTCTTATTTAGATTGATAAAGTTACAAGCATCTGTTCATTTATACAAATGATTTTATCAATTGATTGGCGTAAAAAACATTCCTAATCAGTTTAATTTGCCCGGAAAGATAGTAGTTAACATAAAATAAACACATTCCTATTTTATTTAAACTAGATATTTCATTATTCAATGTAAAAATGTATTAACAATGCAATACACTGCGAGTTTATTGTTAAGCTTCATTTCATTTCATTATAATTTACCTTCTTATTATACTTAAAATAAGTGAATAATTATCTCATTGGTGAGAGTTTATATTCTCTCATTGCAATTGATGCTCAAGATTTGTATGAACATTAGTCGATTCCAGATTTGACTCTTGATCATTATTAAAACTAAGCTAATATACGTCCTTTAAAATAACCAAAATGAATACTATCGAATGTTTTGGGTTTTATAAGGTCGAAATGAAAAATTGAATTCTGAATAAGATACTTAGCAGTTTGTTTTATATATATGAGAAATTTTTAACAACATTCCTGTAGTTTAATTAAAAATAGTAGCGAAACAATTAGATGATATGTGATGGTGAATTCGATCTGGAAAGCATTTTAGTCGCTGACTAGTTACTTTATTTACTTACGCTTATTACCACCAATGGTGTATGGGCCACCAACCAACATTCTCCATTTCACTCTAACCTGGGCCTTCCTTTCTAGTTCTGTCCAACTGTTGATCATTCTCCTCACGTCTGCTTTCATTTCTTAGCGTAATCTGTTCTTTTATCTCCCTCTCCTCCTTCTGCCTTCTGGATTCCGGGTGATGGGAGATGGCCTTGTGACACAGTTGAGTGTTTTCCTCAATGTATGTCCTATACACTTCCAACGATTCTTCCTGATTTATTCTCACACTGTAATCTGGTGTGTTCTCTCACACAATACGTTGTTGGTGATAGTGTCTGGCCAACGGATTCGAAGTATTTAGCTTAGACAGCTGTTAATTAACGATTTTTATCTTCTGTATGATGGATTTCGTAGATCCTCACGTTTAAGATCTATTCAGCTGAACAGTTTTGAGATATGTATCAGAAATTCTGCTCTTGGTGTTGGTTGACGTTGAGTTCCAGATGTTTCAGAACTTCTATATACCAGGGTCGAATTCAAATGGTGTGAATTATTTTTTCACGTTAGCGTTTTTTCGCGAGTTAGTTTTAAACGGGATGAGATCGCTAACCTCATGCCTAATCTTCTTGCTTTATCTTGACATGGGACTGGCAGTAGTCTAAGGGGTGCTCTCGGATTAGTATCAGTCCGAAATTCAATAAAACCATGATAACGTATTTAATCTAATTCATCATAATCAAGACTCGTAGCTATCATGATACCTTAAAAATACTAGGAAGCTATCCTGTAGTTTATATCTCTCGCTTCAATCGATTTTTCACATAAACACAAGATCAATCAGGACAGTCAATGGATCGTTATGACCGTAGGTCCACAACCTATAGTGAAACAACTGTTAAATATCAACTGGTTAACGATAGTTCTTCAAGCCACTATCGCTCCAATACTAAAATTATCTTCAGAAAACCAACGAACATTTTATTTCAGTGTCTCAATAACAATCAGTGCAAAGAGCGTGAAGGTTCCGAAATGTATCACTGAACCTTAGCTAAATCACTCATCAAATCGGACCACAGCTAAATTGTAAGTTTGAATAAAAGATATTTAGTCGTTGACCGAGTTTTGTCGGGGTTAAGGATGGCCAACATGTACTGACCAATCGACGATATAAATCTGTTTATGGGGTAGGGTATCCATACTCTTCACTTCTCTAGTCTGTTCTATCTAGTATGTGATATTACTCTGCCATTTACGAACACTAGGTAATTGGGATAGGAAGCCCATCAGGGTGAGGTGAGTCAATTTTGAAACTCCATACATGGTGTAACTTTCATGCAATATGAAATGAATCAAACAATCAAGAAACAAGCATTTAACAACTATTATTATCAAATATGGTAGATCACAATCAATCCTCATAATATACATATTTCCGAATCCAGTTAATTATATTATGAGCATTGATCACTGTGTAGCTTCGTGAGTTGTAGTAAACAAATCAGCTTTAGTTTTTGTATTGATAAATTTAAAAGATATCTGGATTCCAAAGCAAACATTTTTATAAACTGCGTTGGAACCCTAACATCCGTATTGAATTATGGCACGAGGATAAAGCACAAACATAAGAGCTTTAGTTGCAGGAGGGTTTTGAGACATTGGCAGTTCATAAAGAGCTCAGTCATATGAATATCACTTACAACACACTGCTTCAATATCTCCCATACGTAGAGGTACGGATGAAGTAGCGTCTGGATCAGTGATGCTGGAAAAACTTGAGGAGTTTTATTTATCATATTTATCAATGTAGAAGTCATTCCTTTAGCTGAATTTTGACATATTCGTTACATCATTTCTGTTTACTTAAGTTGACTAGTTTCTTACCTGGAAATTCTATTCCATTACAATCCTTCACTTAATGCGTTTCCTTCTAGACTCTTGTTCATCCAAACATTTAAAGATTGCAATTAGTTTTTTTCCGTAACTTAATTGAAGGAATAAACTTTTGATCAAGACATTACACCGCCATCGAAAGCCTGGAAGTGCTGGATAGTAATTTCTTCCTAGCATGGTGCTTCTCAGTAGTGTGCATCAACGATCCCGCTCGCGGGAGTCGAACCCGTGTCAGTTAGAAGCAGGTTTCAACCTCAGACCTCGTGACCACATAGTTCTTCTTGGTTAGACTGCGCTATTTTCGGGATTCATAGTTTTTACTGTAGTTCAAATACTTCAAGCTATCACACACCGTTAGATGACGGCTCAGTTGTCCAGAGGTTAAGCGTTTGGGTTCGAATCTCGCAAGCCGGATCTTGCACATGCACTGGTGAGGAGTCCCATACTAGGACTAAACGGCTGTTGAGTGATTCCATGTTTTCAATGGTGGTCCAAAATCAAACGGTTCATGAACTCAACCAAAACTGAACAGTCTTCACAACTCATACTGATATTTATCAGTATGCGTTAGGAAGACAGGAACTCAGACACAGGAGGTCACTGAGTTGTGAATGCATGTGTAGTGGCATTAGACCCCAATACGAGACAATGTGGGAAATAGACACTCAACATTTAACACGGAGAAAAATCCAACGATGAAGATGGGGGGGGAGAATGAATTGAAATAATTGGAATTAATCGAATGGTATTACTCGGCCTTCCAGGCGTGGTCTTATGTAACATTATTTTCATGCATATTAAACATACTGTTCTATCTTTAATCTAAATGTGTTCCTCACATATTAATGATTGTTACAACGCAATGAATCAGGGTAGACGATGATGTGACTTCCACGTAAGATCTTATGAATATGCAATTTTACGATAAGGTCTATTGTTGGAGCAGTACTGATATCAAAGCAGACCATAATTCCTCACATGTACTTAATTGTTTTAAGACAGTGCGTAAATGTCTCCCAAGAGTTATACGTTAAACCATTTCCACGTCCTTAAGATTCCAAATACTAGTCAAAAGCCTAGAATAAAGTTGGTCCTTCATTGATTTTCCAAAATAGGAATAGGAGGGTTGCTTGACGATTCAGGTCAGCATGCGTTACCTCCAGAATAATCAATGGTGTTGAAAACCAGGCTTATGAATGCAAGTGAAATTTTCCCTAAAGTTTTCTTTATGTTCATTAGGTCAGATAATTGAATTCACAGATGCTCCAGAGACATCTGTTGATGCTGGTGAACTTGATGTGAAACAGAGACAATTGACTTATCCAGTTGGTACTTTTCCCTCACTGTCATGTGAGAACAAAGAACTATCAGATAAAACATAATAAATAGTTCTACCCAGCTCAAGAAGTATTGTTATCTCAAAGTCTTACGCTGTTTTATAATAAGTTGTCCTATTTGATATTCTTCCCACCTAGAAGCACCACAACTTCTTCAATAGATTGCTTCAAGAAGAGATGAAATGATGGCATATTTGTCCATGGATTATCTCTTCACATCTTGATTACCATGTAGAACTATGATATAATCCGGTTTTATTACATTTATGATTGCTTCCATTATAATAAACCAAATCCCGAAATTATAGATTCGACATGACGTGACTGTTTAATCTACGAGATTTTAGGTGTAAGTCAAATAATTGTCTATACTAACTCGTCTTATAGCGACGACCAGTAATGATTACGAGCACTTCTGAAAAACAGATTTAGTCTTGGGACAGAATAGTGTATTTAATGTGAGTACGGGTGGGTTACACAGAGTGATCACGCCTGCAAGGCTGAACCATGCCATACCTAACGACTGTTCCTGCATCCACCATTGTTCGACCTTTTCTAAATATAACATGTTGAATGTAAATCCTTTCAGTAATTATACAATCGACTTCAAAGATCATGTAGTTAGGAACCAATACCACTATATTACTTTCCCACCAGAATAAATATGACGTTAGTTTGATACCAAATCGAGTGAGACTGTCGCTCTCCTAAGGTTACCGAAATAAAATACAAAGGACAAGGCTCTGCTATACTTATTGATTCACACTCCACATGTCTAGCAATACCTACATCTTTATATTGTTGGGTTTTCTGGTTCCACAAACTATTATTCCCATTTGCTTGCCCATATCTACGTGTATTTTGAGTCTTGTGGAGATAGTTGGTGGTTCTAGTAACCCTGAGAACCCTGGAGTAAATAAATTCACGTACCATTTGAAGACTATAAGCCCCTAATATTTCAACTTTACTTTTACACTACCCCCACTGAACAATATCACTGATCTAAGCAAGCTTCCAGTAACAAGATGACAGTGTTTAGAAGTGAGTAACAATAACTCATAACACAGGAATTTTGTATCTGGCCACCCTTTAGTTATGGGATAACGTTTAGAATGAAATTAGTGATAGGCTGAAGTCCGGCGTAATTTTATAGGTTCAATCGTGAGCTCTAAGTATTCAGAACCAAAATCATATCATTTTTATTTGGATTTATATTTACTAGTATAAAAGTTGTGGAGATTATTAAGTTTTTTGATTGAGATCATGAACCAATTGATGTTAGACCATCACAATTGAAAACCTGGAAGCACTGCACGGCCGTTTCGTTCTATTATGGGACTCCTCAGCAGTGCGCATCCACGATCCCGCGAGCGGGATTCGAACACAGGGACTTCGGTCTCGCGTGCGAACGCTTAACCAACTGGTTCATGATCTCAATCAAAAACTTAATAATCTCCATAACTCCTATACTAATAATCAACATGTGCTCACTAGTTACTAGCTTCGTGAGGGAATTTTTGGAGTTCTAGTGAGAAGTCGTGACCAGTGGAGCTAATCCTTGTCGGGTAGAGACAGTTATCTACCTCAGTACAATGGAAGTTGGTCGCGCAATTTCGTGGATTGGTTGATGTTAGAAACTATCACCATTGGATGCCGGCTCAGTGGTCCAGTTGGTTAAGCATTCGCGCGCGAGACCGAATGCCCTGGGTTCGAATCCCGCTCGCGGGATCATGGATGCGCAATGCTGAGGAGTCCCACAATAGGACAAAACGGCCGTCCAGTGCTTCCAGGTTTTCAATTGTGATGGTCTAACATCAATTGGTTCATGATCTCAATCAAAAATTTATATTTATTTTAAGTAGTCATACATCGTTGAAATTGTCCACCAGAACACGTAACGCCAGAGTCATATGTTGGCGAATTCGAAGTGAGATTGAGTCTTTGTAGTATTTATGGCGTGTACGTGGTTTTTCTGTTCTTATCGAATTTTCTAATATTGAATGGACAGCATTGTTCGCAGTGAGTTTGACAACTGCGTTACAATGTCTGGAGTATGGTTATAATCTAAGTTGGCTTCTAAGTTTCTGGGCGTAAGTACGAATTTCGCTTGATTTTATCTGTTCGTTCTATATGTTCTACACTCATTACAAGTTATCTCTTGCGTGATAGCCTGCTGATTATCCCGTACGTCCTTTGGTTTAAAATCATATTTTTCTATTTTTGGATACTCTTGCAAAGTTATGCAAACAGAAGCAAGTTGTTCTGCAATCTGGTCGATTCGACTGAGTTTGTCATGAACAATATCTGATCCCAAAAAGTAAAGTTGGGCACTTTCCGTGGCCTCTAGTAAATACATATGAGATTCCAAGGGAATAAAATCCACCGACAATTGAATCATATTCATAATACGTCGGACTGCTTGTGAAGCAATTACCTGGTTAAGCAAATCGTTCGGACAAGTTTTGGCAACAAATTTTTGAAAAGCTATCCACGTTTCGTATCAAGTGGAGCAGGCTTATGGTACCAAAGTTATTGTTTTGAACAATTCCAGGAAATCGCACTCTACTAAGTGCAGAACCATGTTCAATTACTCAAATTACCTATTTTACATACTACAATACAATTTGGTCAACCGGATTTTGCGGCCCATTTCAGTCGCTTTCCGTACAGTCTAATAATGGATTAACCACCTATCTATTGGTTCTGTGAATATTTTCTTGCGATTTTTGTATGTTAGTCTTTAAAAACGTATGATCTGAAGACGGTTCGGATAAGCACACTTTTGTTAACAATAACCCTAACTATTGTGCACAACAACTGTGCATCAAACTAGTTTTAGTTAGTATTTTAGTCATCCGAGTGTACTAGTCAGGTATATTACTCTACAGGATAGCGTTGTAATCTTCCCAAATGAAAACTACAACTGCATGTCAAAATATTACAGGCTTCATCTTCAAATTTGTTGTCATAATGAAGTGCCATCATGCTTTAGAGCCGTTATGATTCTCTTGATCTGCCGAAACCGTCAAAGTGTCCCTGAATTAAGAATTGTTTTTTGAATTACTAAACCTAAACCAGGAAAACGGTTACCCTTCAAGTGAACTAGTTATAGGGTAGACCGCTTTACTCCGTTCTGTTCTGTACAAACCGAACCCATATAACCTGTACTCATTTTATGACCCATCAAGTGATCTATAATACTGTGGCTGTCCGTCCCGCCGTGATAATATATTGTGTCTCTTTTACATTTGTGTCGCGTATTACGTTCTGACAGACTCGGTGAAGTTATGATTTATGGAAGACCTTAAATCAAAGATAAAGTAACCTTGAGGCAACAAGTCTTATTACTAGTGTCAAAAGTGGGTCGCAAAATTAGTATGTGAAATATGGATTGACATTTCTTCGTAAAAGTGAACGTAACTTCTTTGACTGAAAAACATTCTGGTTGTACTTCTAAGTGAACTGCTTATTTCACTCTCATACACTAATCTAACCTTGTTATTATACGCGCTTTACCCTCTTTATTCTTTGACAACCTTATTGATATGAAGCTGATTATGAATACAGTGGTCCCGACTGCTGTTGCAGGGTGGTTCTCACTTTTCGGCTGCCCACACCATAGGAGGGTCCTTCTAGAGGTGCCTGAAAAAGAAATTGGGTTAGGTCTGGTCTTAGTGACCTGCGAACTTGACCGCAGTGCCCAAGTGACAACTAGTTGAGGCCTGTCACACACGACCTTTCTGTGGGTAATTTTTGTGTTGGCTCCGTACTTGTTGAGGTGTGCATTTTTAGGGTCGACCGTTTACAACTCCACCCTCCACTTGTGGGAAGGCAATATCTCTGTTGTGCTGGCTTTCCAAAGGAGACACCTTACTGCCTTCACACATCTGTATAGTCAGCAGTACGACTTCGCCCTCGGGTCTTGGGTTTGCTGCTTTTAGTCTTACCGTTCTTCAACCGACTTGTCTGGCATGGTAGGACCTTGAGGAGTGATTGTTTCAACCAGTATAGCTTGATTAGTTCATAACAATAGGCAAGCCCGATCACAACGTCGAGGTAGCACGAAGGGTTGAAAGAGCCTTTAGTATTTGTGATGACAAATGCAGTAAAGTTAATATTTTAAAAGTCATCACTGAAAACGGTAGTATAAAATAATACGCATAATGTAAAATGAATGATTGTATAGTAAACCGTGAAGGGGAAGTCACAGAAGAAATAAAATCGTCAAGAAAATTGGTGGTTCTGTAACTACTGATGTAACAGATTCAGTGATAGATAGATTTTGGGTGAATTCGTGTAAGTTAGGTTAGACAATTAGAAAAAAATTGCATTATAATTTCATTAACTACCAACTGACCAGTTTAGTCAGTTATATCGAAGTTGGTAAAATAGAATCAGAAGCCTTATCAAACCAATAAATTGAACTCAGTACTCTATTTAAAACAAAACTAAGCACTATCATTAATCAAACTGAACTCTCGTAATAAAACAAAATGAAACAATCCACAACTAGTAACTATAATGAGGTCGTTAGTGACTCAATTAGGTTTAAAAAAAACGTATTAAAACTTATAGAACGCTGAATAATTCTGATCATTATCAGCAAAAATATTCTTCAGTCATATATATATATATATATATATATATATATATATATATATATATATATATATATATATATATATATATATATATATATATATATATATATAAATATATATATATGTAGATGACTAATAAAATTATTGACCTCATAACGAGTTAATTACTGTTAGCCAAAAAACAACAATGGAATTCTGTTGCAAGTACACAAGAAAAACTAGAAGTTAACTGAGAAATGTGCTGATCTGAGTCATCACGTCTCTTAGAAAAAAAACATACACAGAGAAGAATTAGATAAAAAATAAGTACAGAATAATAAAATATTTTAAACGTGTGTGGAAGAAACAAACATTAAATTCGTTTTTCCTTCATGGTAGGACCTATAGGAACGATTGTTCCAGCCAGTATAACCCGATTGACTCATCATGATAGGCAATTCCGACCACCACGTCAAGGTCGCCCCAAATGTCCTGGTACGGTCGAGAGTGGGGAGAGTCATCTCTCCTGTAGAAATTCTCTCACGTGACTATGCGCATATAACCACTGTCAAGGAATTCCTACTCACTGTCTTCTCGCGAAGGGAGTGTTGTTTACGAAATTGAGATGACGAAAATCGAATATCCGGCGTATACGGAGGATCAACTAAGAGGATTCGGAAAACCTTAATTTCAAACCAGTGGTGCACATGGCCTCCAGCTTCCCGAGGGAACACATGGCACATAAACCTGCTGTTGGTAACCGGTTATCATGAGGCCGCATCTTCCAATGTTGCTCCACGGCTCTGTGGACTAAAACTAGGTCAAACGCTCGGGGGAGTGGCACCATAAGAATACTATCTGCCTCGGCTTGGGTGTCCGGTCATTATCTCAGCCATCACACAAATCGAATAATGGAGTATGGCACATATGTATTTGGTTGACAGTATTTGTGTTTAAATAATAAATATGATTTTGAGTAAGAACATAAGGTTGGAAACTCAGGTGAGGGTTCTTATGATGAACTGACATCAGCTTTTATGCCAAAATTCTATTTAACTATATGGATGAGTGAATTTCGCCACAAAATCCAAGGCTTAAACCCCTTAATTTCTTTTGTTCGTCCATAACTTATAGTCTGATCACCAATTCAGTAATCGCTATTCATTTCAATTTACTGGGTTTAATTAATTTTATCATCTCTTAGACTTTCGTGCTTTTTTCAGTTTTAATGGGCGCAAGGTATTCTAAAAAGCGTCACAAGCCTCGTATAAGCAAATCCCAGATCCCTTGGCTTCTACGCGGAGCTATAAGAAGCAATAATGTTGGTACTCTTCAATATCTCTTCAGCTATCCTAATGGTGTAGATCCAAGTATGGTCATCGATGGAGTTTGTCCACTCAATTTGGCGGTTGAATTAGGTTATTTACAAATGGTCAAAATACTCATTAAAGCAGGTGCAGATATTTATGTTGCCGATGCTCCTCGATACCCACTTCATCAAGTAAGAGAGTTGAATTTTCCAATTCCATATTTGCATTATGACGAGATGTACATGGTCTGCTGGTTCTACAAAAAATTTAATGGCTCTAGAAATGTATATTGGTCTTAATTTTAGGCAATATACATGGCTACTTTCGTTATCTTACCTAAGGATTATTTCCACGATCACGGAACTTAATCGAGCGGGAAAAGTAATAAAAGCTTTTCGAAGCAATTAATCGGGAAATTCAAGTACATATTCGAATGCTAGCTGGTATTCTACAACTTTGAAGAAACATTCAATCTCCAATTGTTGAACACCATAGTCTGAGACTTCGCTATTAGTCAACTCTGTCATTGAATGATATCATGTAGTTCCATGTTATATGCAGTAGTTGGTTGTCTATTGGTGAATCTGGTCTTCAAGTGTGATAAATCTGTACCAACCGAAGCTTTTGTGTAATATTAAATTAAGTGTATTTAGGTTAGACACAGTGTATATCCGTCAGTCAGTCAGTAACAACGTAGAACTTCGTACGTACGTACATCAGTTCGAGTTGTCACACCACATTAGCACAGAGATGCCGTGGTCGATTCAAATCCCGTAGTGGTAGAGGTAATAAGAGTATAAGCAGTAATCGGAAATATTAGTGTTTAGAGATGTTACTTAAAGAGTATAATACAGTGAAATAAACTTGGGAAGAGAAAAAAGAGACAAGGGGGAATCAGGAGATCAAAATTTGGGAGAACATAAAGAGTGGATGCACCTGCGCCATTGCAAACGATTTTGAGCCATGTCATTCAAGGTCTCTAACCATCGGTTGCTATCATCTCGCGGTCCCCAACCAGGTAGTCTACAACTACCGACATGACTCACTCCACTTCTCAGTGACTTCATGGACTTGTGTCATGTTTTGGTCTGGCCGCCCCTAGCTTTCTTCCAACCTACTCCTATACCACTGAACATCGCACGTCGAGGCAGTCGGTCGTTGGGCATACGTAACACGTGTCCCAGCCATCTCAACTGATGAAGTTTCACCACTTCATCAATCGATTTGCCATCCTTACCTAGTACCCGTTTCCTAACAACTGCATTACTTACTCGATGGTCCCATGATATACGAGCAATGTTTCGAAGACACCTATGATCGAATACTAGTAACCTACGAATATCCTCTACTCTTACCGGCCATGTTTCACTGCCATAAAGTAGGACGGGACGAACTGCTGCGCAGTAAACACGTCTTTTGGTTGATAGACGGATATCTCGCCTACGCCATAAATGACGCAAGTTAGCAAAAGCTAGTCGAACCTTCTGTATCCGTGCTGAGATTTTGTCACACACCAGACCACAAGGGCTGATGAGACTTCCAAGATAAGTGAACCGATCGACACGCTCAATTACTCCACTCCCTATCATTAGTTCGGGTGTCGATGCAACCCAATCCTGAAGCAACATTTTGCATTTCGAGGGAGAGAATCGCATCCCGAACATGCTTGCATTGTTGCTTAGAGTGGTCAGAAGACTCTGCATTTTGTCAGCGTCTTCGCCAAATAAAACAATGTCATCAGCATATTCTAAGTCAACAAGTGAACCTCCTGGTAGAAGTTTAACCCCTGGAAATTTAGATGAGGAAAGTATCATCTCTAAAAGCATGTCAACGACAAAGTTAAACAAGAAAGGAGAGAGTGGACAGCCCTGACGAACACCACTTAAGGTAATCAATTCTGTATATCCATAGGCAAAATAGATGTCAAGATTTTCAGTTTGCATTGACTTAATGATTAAAACACTCAATTATCAATCACTTGATCCTGTGTTTGATTACTCTTTCACTTAGCTTGATATAAAGGACGGAATAGAATTGTTAACCACCGAATACAAAATATTGTGTCTCAAAATCCCGGGCATATAAAACCTATACTGGATTAATAAGTCACACTAAGAAAGCTTCATTGTGTTTCATTTTTTATATTAAAAAACTGTTTACTTCAATGATCGTTTCTTCATTCGAATATCGCAAATTGTTTCCTTAAAGGCAAGTTTGTATGGCCGTGCAGATATTGCTGAACTGCTCATACGATCCGGTGCATCTGTATCAGCGCTTACGGAACGGAGACAGTCTTGTTTACATTTGCTGGCACATCAAACTGCTCAACGTTATGTTGATACTGCAAAAATTCTATTGAAATATCATGTGAATCCAAATACATTGGATGATGATGGTCTTGCACCTTTACATCGAGCATCAGTTGAAATCGTTGAAGTTTTAGTTGCAGTAAGTTTATAGCATTACATTTCGATGGTATTTTCCTCCTACTGTACTGGATTTTTTATAGACAAATATTCTTTTAGTATTAGAAAGAAAAATTTGTAACGGGTTGTTCGTCTCTTGGCGAGAATTTATATTTCAAAGTTCTAATGAGAGGCTGAAACCATTGTGAGAGTGAAACAAGTATTACCAATACTTAATTGCTGGTAGTAACGAATAGACTGACTATAAACGCTAGTCATCCGTAACATGGTCGTGAGTACTTATCAGGAAGCTGTTCAATGCTTCTTGGTTTTTTAGTGTTGTATAGCTAGTCCGTTATATGATGTAAGCTATTTTTTTGCAATGATGCAGCTGTGTATCTCAGGAGTATGCTCTTGATTATGCTGAGTTTTGTGAAGCAAATGTTTCAGTTTTGAAGTTCTGTTTATATTTCTAAACATCATAAGCTTTACGAACTTCAAAAAATAAATGATCTGCTGTATAATCGGAGCGAATTTTATTGAGCGTTAATGGTCTCAGCGTCTTTGTTTGCTTTTTAGCAAATAGTTCATACTTGGAATGGTAGTAAAGATCTATATTTCAGTATAATGAGATGAGATTGACTACATCCAGTATTTTAAACAACTATTGTTGTTTTATGTAAATGAGCTCAGTGCTCAGTGTCGATTAAGATTATATGTTTCTTTATAATATCCTTTTGATTTGGAAGCATGAAACGACTGATGTCAATATATGTAGTCGTGATTTGGATACACCTTTATTAACCGCCGTCAAAGATCGTAGAGAATTAATTTTAATTGCTCTTATACGAGCAGATCAACAATTTCGTGAACAACATCGAAAAAACAACACTACTACTAGTACAGTGGCAACGACGACAACTGCAACTACATTAGAAACTCAATCAAGTGATGGACAATGTCGTGTTGTAACGTCAGCTTTTCGAACACCATCTTCAAAATCATCAAATTCTGCATCATCTCGATTTACACTTGCTTCAGCGACAAGTACAATTTTTCGTGGTATCATTCCAAATGATTGTATTGTACCACCACGTGCTTCATCTGCAGCTTCAGTGAATCTACATTCAATATTCAATGCAAATCATTCAAAACCATTGAATATAGATCGTCATATTTTATCATCACAATTATTACGAATGAAACCAATGAAAGTTTTAGATGATCATGATACTGAATTAGAATGTGATACAAATAGAATAAATATACGTTCATGTATTTTAAGATTAAGTGGAAAAAATCACATATATTTAAATTCTGAATCAAATGGTTTTACGGATAGCGGTGATTCACAATGTATTGTTAAATCAACTTATAGTGGTAATTCTAATTTAACACATACTATTGTACGTAAACCAGAAAATTGTCAACGATGTCATAGTGTAGGCAATCCAAGTGGTAAGATAATTGTTTTTCGAATGATCATATTGTAGTTTTCTTTGTTTTGATGAATTGATTCACTATGAAAGTTAATTGATCATATAGATAGTAGGATCTAGCATATAGACTTATTTATTTATTGAAATATATAAAAATTAGTTCAAGGGTTCACCAAAATATGTATATACTACGAGGAATTTGTATAAGGATTAGGATACTTCCAGGACGCCCAAACCGAGACAGATGGTTTTCTTATGGGGCCACTCCCTCGAGCGTTCAACCTAGAGTTTTAGTCCACAGGACAGTGAAGCAACGTTGGGAGATGCGGCCTCATGATAACTAGTTACCAACAGTAAGTTCATGTGTCATTTGTTTCTACGGGAACCTGGAGCCCATGTGCACCGTCGGTTTGAAATTAAGATTTTCCGAATCTCTTAGGTTGATCCTCTGTATACACCAACTTGGTTTAAGCACTGAACATTGTCTGTTCATCCTCTTGATGACGTAGGTAGCATCTCTTCTGCGAGAAGGTAGTGAGTAGAACTTCTTTGACAGTGGTTAAATACACGCTGTCACGTGAGAGCATTTGGGAAGGAGAGATGGAATCTCCCCACCCTCGACCATACCGAGGCATTTGGGGTTTCAAGCATTTGTGATGTGTAATACGTATGCCTGACCATTGTCTTCCTCGATGAACGATGTTAGCTGGTGTAGTAGTAGGTCGGAAAAAAACTAGGGATGGATAAACTAAGACATGACATTAGCCCCCGAAGTCACTGATTGTCGGACTAAGCCATTTCGGTATGTACAGACAATTTATTTGGAATCCACGCGATCAATTGTCAAATAGTGTTGATATTAATTGTTTTTCTTTCTTTAAAGGTAAATTTAATTCTTACTGGTAAGTTTTATCTATTTTTTCTCTACACTTTTGTATTTGTAGATGTGGCTCGTTGGTGGCAAAGTTGTGATCGAGTTCAACGTATACTTGGTAAAACTACACTCATCAATACCAGTAATAATAATAATAGTAATAATATTAATAATCCAACATCACAAACAACACAACTTCCACTCAATCTTAAAAATGGTCAGCAGTCGAATACTGGTACAATACGACCACGTTTAGATATAGATCGACCAGATAAGATTGGTAAATAATTATGTTTTATGATTGTATATCTCACTTTTTGTTCACCGTTGTGTTGTTTTTCTAATAAGTATTAATCCTTACCGTTTATAAATTCTGTTTTGTGGTCTTTTTGAGAAGTATCTGTCATTGAATAAGTGAAATTGTTATCTTACAAGAAGCATATATTCGACATTATTAGTCTAGATTACAACCAAGAAATCATTGTTAACTCCTGTTCTCCGAAAAAAATACAGAACAGTCGACCATTTTTCCTAATGAAAGTGTTACAGTATGAACTATTAGATAATCCCTATCACCACCTTTGTATGTTCCTCTGAGGGGTAATCCTAATTAATCGAAAGTTATTCATACTCAGTTCCATTGAGATGTTTTACTAAAAGAGAATAATGATTGTGGCAGAATTATGTAGGTTGATTTATTTTGAAAAGACACATAGTGTGGGTTATATACTGGAACTTCGATAGCTTCTGTCCAATAAGCTGCAAAATGGGCTTTGATTAGAACTGTTTAACCGTACATATAAATTTTGTTCAGAATATAAAATTAAGGATTATCATAATGAAGACAACCAATAAAAACCAAGAGGCACCTTACTGGTGTTCTTCCCTGCTATGGAGTTCTTCTGTAGTACACATTCACGACCTCGCTGGAGATCGAAATCAGGGCCATTAAAATCTAGTGGCGAGAGTCTTATCTTCAAACTACTGATCCAGAAACCAATGGTTTATATTATCGATTCGCAATGTTACCCAACCATTGTCATCACACTATACACGTTTGGACTCCGTTGGTCTCGACTTTTGGAAATTTCCTCTCAAAATAAGTCATACAATAATTATAAACAATCGGTATAAATCCCTGTACTGATAAAAAGTAAACTGTAGCTGAATACTGCCTGTATGATAACAGTTATCTGTAAGAATTCATATTATTTTTCTAAGATTGTTATCTTCGAATTATTCAGATTTTTAACTTGGAAAATTTGGATCGGATTTCCTTAAGCATATGTTCATGGGAGTCTCCTTAGATTAGACCTTCCCCATTCTGTCAACTTAGTTAGTCTAAACGTAGCGAAGAATTCTTTTGTATAAATTTAACCTTCCGTGTTGTATGCTTTTCATACCCTAAAGAATGAACACAAAACCAGCTGGGTAAAAACAACAATGGTTTTCTTTCACAAACAAAGTCTTTTCCCAATATAGTCGATCTAATTACAAGTTAACCAAATCGGCAGACTGAATAATAAAAAATTGTTAAGCTTCGTAGATGATCCTTTTCTCGGAACAGAGTTTAATTCATTTTCTTTGGTTGACGATTATTCTGTAACGGTGTTCTTTTTACACGATTAAGTTATTAATCCTACACTCAACAATCTTCGTTCCTTATCCGAGCTTGGGATTAGAAATAGTTTTCAAGGGGCTCCAGTTGGAGTTAACCTGTGCAGGACCAACTACAATTTGTCTTTTGAATGGCATATAATATATATTTGCAACAAGGTCTTTATTGTTGCCTTGTAGTTGTTTCTACCTCCACACACACAAAAGAAAATGCGCTACATTTAAACAGGAACTGTTTTGATGTTTTTCCTCATTGACTAATCCTAATTTTAGGTATGACACCTTTAATGATTGCAGCAGAAGCTGGTTCAAGTGGTTTGAATATGGCGATAGCTTTAGTAAATGCTGGTTCAAATCTTTCGCTCACTGATAAAGTCGGTATGACCGCTTTACATCATGCATGCTATGTTGGCTCATTAAATATGGTACGTTATCTTATGGAACGTGTCCATCCAATATCTTGTAATAATGCGACGACGACAACCACAACAACTATTTGTACTACTACGGCGACGACGACGGCCACCACTGCATCAATTCCAAAAACTAACAATCTATTGAATGGTTCCAATGCTCGTTTGTCATGTCTTCTTTCTACATCGATTATATCATCATTAAATGCACCTGGATCAATATGTCCTACTAACAATAGTAACAGTAACATAAATGTCCAGTCGTCAATGGTAGGATCAGCACCACCACCACTAACTACAAGTCGTCTTTCAAATCCTGAATTAATAAATACTCAAGTACGTTGTGTGTAAGAATATATGAGTGTGTACGTGTGTTAGCGTTATTTTAAGCTAAAAATTAAATACATTCACCAAAGGTTTGGAAACTTATCAGAACGAAAAATACCCGTGTTTGTCATTTCGACGTCGTTCCGACTAACTGAGCTGTAATTTCGGTTGAAGTTTAAGGCTTTTTGTGTTTTTTTTATGGTTAGTTGGAAAACTATGGATCAAAGAACAAATAATCAAAAGACAAATATCGTAGCAGGAGGAAGTTAAATATTGATCGAAACATTTTATTCTCGTAACCTCTCTGAATTATCTCCGTCGAACTGTTGGGAGGCAATTGGTTGCAGATTAGCCAGAGAAGTTACAAGAATAAAGTTTTTCAAACAGTGTTCCTTCTGATACGATATTTGTTCTTTATTTATTTACGTTTATAAATGGAAATATTTGTATGCAACGCCGAATAAATCTGTCACTTACCCACCTCCAAATGCCTTGGTACGGTCGAGGGTGGGGTCAATCCGATCTCTCTCTCTCGAAATGCTCGCCAATGGCCATGCGTATACAGCCACTGCTAAGGAATTCATAATCACTGTCTTCTCACGAGGGAGGTTTCGTTTACGAAACTGAGAGGACGAAAAGCGAAAGTCCGGTGCTTTAACCGGGTTGGTGGATATGAAAGATCCGCCTAGAGGAGTTGGAAAGCCTTGAGTCCCAACTCATGGTACATATGGGCTCCAGAATCCTGAAGGAACAAACGGCACACGAATCTATTGTTGGTTACAAGTTATCATGAAACCGCATCTTCTAACGTTGGTTTACTGTCTTGTGAATTAGACTTCTGGATCTAAGGCTCGGAAAGTAACCTTCTAGGAAATTCACGTACTTCGTTTTGGGCGTCTGGGCAGTATACCAGCCCTTACGCAAATCAAATGATGGAGTGTGGCGCATATGTATTTGGTGCCTCCTTGTATCAATGTTTGTTCAAATAAATAAATAAGTGGCTTAATCATGTAACTTCCATCGCCCTTCTAGACAACGTTATCAGTTCAGGTTTTCTGTCACTATTTGTGTATTTATTTTGATTGTTTTCGCTCTCTTGATCTGATTCTTGAATGACATAACATAAATTATCAACCATTTTATTGCGACACATAAGCAAAATCACTTCAATTAATTTTATACAAATTGAGAGATGTAATAATATAAAGAATAAAAAGAGAACATCTGAAAGATAAACTAATCCAACTGTGTGAAACATAACATCGAACAAAGCGGCTGACCGGTTTCTTTATGTCTGTAAAAAAAAACTAATTTGTTGTCAAATCTCGCGATGTATTTCTACTTGTAGCGATTCATCTACACAGTTGTAGGCACATCTTCAACTGGAAAACCATGAAAATCTTGTATTGAAAGAATTCAAAGAAGACCTAAAAACTTTTAGAAGATTGACGTTTAGGTCAGTCAGCAATCAGTAAACATATTGATGCAAGTCCTTTATTTATCAACCACTTAGTACAGTCAATAACGATTGTAAAATGAAGAATTACTTCAAAGGAAAAGATAATGGAAATAAATACATAGACGGTTAGATGGGGGTTGGAGTTAGTCGACTGGAAACCCTAAGCCCGGGTTTCATGCTACTTGGCACTCGTCAGCAAGGTCTACCTGTAATCCTGAGAGAACTGGTGCTCCCTGGCGGATTCGATCAATTGTGATTACATCTCAGTCCTACAGGAGGTCAGTCGCAGCCCGGATAGCTCAGTGGTAACGTCTCTGACTGTGAAGCTGGGTGACACGAGATCGAATCCGCCATGGAGCACCAGTTCCCTCAGGACTACAAGTACACCTAGCTGAAGAGTGCCAAGTAGCACGAAACCCGGGTCTAGGGTTTCCTGTCGACTACCTCTAACCACCATCTAGTCTCAATATATAGTGCCCGCAATGTCGAGTCACCTAGACTGGTGGTCACATTGCAACATGATTGATAGCATACGATCTGCACTAAATAAGGACTTGAAACACATGACATTGATCACCACCCAGTGATCAATCAATTGTGACATAGACGGTGGCAAGATTCCATAGGAACAGTGCAAACTGTTAGTCATTTGTATGTATAATGATTCTTAAAAAATTAATGAATCAATACTTCTTGATTGAATCTCCTAGTTCAATGAACACAAATCTATTCAAATCATCTTCATAAGTTACAAGTTTTGCCAACCATCTCAAAAAATATTGATTCAACCCATTGTTCATTGATTTTTCTATTCTGTTTTCCTTTCAGGATAAATATGGTCGAACTTTAATTTATCTCGCTGCATGTCGTGGACATAGTGAAGTTGTCAATTATTTATTATGTCATTCAGCTGATATACATATTACTAATAAAGAAAATAAATCCCCTTTATATATTAGTGCTTATTTTGGTTATTTGGAAATAACCAATGCCTTATTACGTCATGGTGCACAGGTAACTCACTTTCTTAGTTGTTTCTTCTGTTGTTGTTTTTTTCTTTAGAAGAGAATCACATATTTATATGTTTGTGGGTATATTTATGGTTAGCGTTTTTTTAGCGAGTTACTTTTCTACGGGATGGGGTCGCTAACCCCCATGCTCAACCTCACCCCTTTATCCGGGCTTGGGACCTGCAGTATCCCCCCAGAGGGGCTCTAGGAGGAGTTATGGGGGTTTTTTTTTGAATTATAATTTTGTGAATGAATTTTCGATTATTGGATTTCATGAAGCGGTTGGTTAAAACTAGTGTTTGGTCTTTTTTGTATCATAAATCTTCTTAAGGTTGTTTTCTTTTTATTGTACAGGCCTCTTTATGACTGAACATCAAGGTTTACTATTAATCAGTTAGCTTTTGATAGAGTTTTGTTCTCTGAACTGGATGGTTTAATCAGAGAACAAAACTCCATCCGAATCATCCACCTGATCTACAAATCTTCTCCACCATTTCAAAATCAGTTAGATGTAATCAATGTTGTGATTGATGCAACTGTAGATGGATACATGAAGATGAAATCAACAAAATATAATGCAAAAGAAGTCGAAATTTTAATGGTTTCAACGGTAGTTTAAAAGTACTAAACATGGAAAATTTAGTTCGCAAGGAAGGAAGGAATTTGTGTGATAAAAAGGTGGAAATAAATATTACAACTTTGAGATCTTAGGGTTCAGTCAGTCAGTAACAACGCAGGACTTCGTACGTACGTACATCAGTTCGAGTTGCCATATCACATTAGCACAGAGATGCAGTTGTCGACTCAATTTCCGTAGTAGTAGAGGTAGTAAGAGTATAAGCAGTAATCGGAAAAATTAGTGTTTGAAGATGTTATTTAAAGAGTATAATCCAGTGAAATCAATTTGGAAAGAAAATAAGGGACATGAAGAATTCAGAAGATTAGAATTTGGGAATTCACAAAGAGTAGATGCACTTGCGCCATTGCAAACGATTTTGAGTCATGTCTTAGGGATAAGTGAAGTTAAAGAATAAATCTGTCAATTTTAAGTCATAACACTTAGTGTCTTCAATTAGTTGATCACAGTTATCTTACATTAATAAGGTAATTTTCACCTATCAACGTAGAGTTTCGGTTCATTATCAGTGACTTCATTGAATGCTAACACATTTTGATTGAGCATAATTATCTTTGAATACAGAAAGTTTCACTGTACATCTGTATTTAGTTCTAATAAACAGTGTTTAAGATGAAATTTAACGAATCCCGCATACTATACTCTTCCTTGTAGAGTGGTAGTGGCTTAATAGTGGTTAAGACGTCCACATTTCACTCGATATGACTCAAGTTCGAGTCTTATTGGACCTACTTTTATGTGACCTTACACACGAAGTGTAGCTGATAGTGAAGTAAATAATTTCGTACTTTCTAAATGAGTTATTTTGTTCTATTCTCGCCTTAGACAATCTGTTAGAAACTAGGGATTATTGGACAGCTGTTTCATCCTAGTATTGGACTGTTTAGCAGTACAGATTCAGGACTCCACTAAGAACCGAACTCAAAATATTCTCCTTTCATGATTAGCGCCTAGTTTCTTATTTTGTTATGAGATGAGATCATTTCGGTATGTGTAAAAGATACTCTTTACCAGTTAGTTACATATCAGATGATAAGCGCGTGTTATTGGTTAAGATTTGACTTCTTTTTGTTAGGAACAAGACATATGACATTGTTTGAAAACATGGCTAAGGGAAAAAGATACAAATGTATGTATGTACGAGGGTGTTTACATTTACTCTTGATGGGGTCTTAATCAATAAAGCTTAATTCCTACTTAAGTAACTGATTGGGTATGCATGTATGAAGCTTATGTACCAATATTAGACTTAGACATCACACAACATAACAATACGCTTATATGATTTATATTTTTAGTTTAATAAAGTACTTAAAATCCCATTTGTTTATTAAGTAGGAAAAAATTTTTTATTTTCTCATATTTATCTTTAAAGGTTGATCAAATGGATTCACATCGAAAAACTCCACTGTATGTAGCTACTTATCATGGACGATCAGAAATTGTCGATCTTCTATTAGCAGCCGGTGCTAATGTTAATGCAGCTGATAAAAATGGTAAAACTCCACTATATGTTGCTGTATTACATGGACATTTAGCATTAGCACGTAAATTATTAGATGCTGGTGCATCAGTTAATCGTGTAGATCGTGAAGGTCTTGGTCCTTTACATATGGCAGTTAAATTTCCTAAATTAGATATACCTATGGTAAAACTATTATTAAATTATGGATGTGATCCAGTAAATTTAGCAAGTTTTACACGTTGGTTATTAGTACATGGAATAATTCCTGAAGAATGTATTCATGGTGATGATGAATTAGCTCAATGGTTACGTTGGGAAGAATGTAATGTACATTCATTAAAACATATTTGTCGTGTAGTTATACAACGTGCACTTGGTTATGCTGATTCATTAAGAATTAAAGCAAATCGTTTACCTTTACCAGAGCATTTAATCTCTTATGTATCAATGAAACAATTATAATGATTAATATCTTACATTGTTTGTTTGTTTGTTTGTTTTTTTTCACCTGACTTCCTTAATCATCACCAATTATTCGTACTCATTTCAATTTTCTCCTTTCACCTCCCTCCCTCCCTTCCCTTCACCCCTCTCTCTCTCTATCTCTCTCTCGGTTCTTCTAGATTTTTATCAGCATTGCATTTATTCATGGAAAATTTATTTTAATGACTTTGTTTTTACAGAATATCTTAACAACTGATCTAGATAATAATAATACTAGGTTATTTAACAATAATAATGATTATGATTACTATTATCAAATCTATAGTGGTATTTTTGTGTGGAGGGGAGGCGGAAGGGAGGGGGGCAATGCTTGTCTGTGATCATATGAAACCTTTTTTTTTAAAAAAAAACATTTTCTTGTTTTCTCAACAACAACAACAAAAAATAATAATTAATTGCACTTCGCTTCATTGTGTATTGAGACAATTGGAAAGGATTACCAATAATGATAGAGATGAATGGTGAATGCTGATCAGTCAGTCAATCAGTTGGTTAGTCAGATACAACGTAGGATCAAGCACATATATACATCGATCCAAGTTGTCATACCTGATGGGCGACCTATACTCTTTCATGAAGGGTAAATAATGATAGAGTAAGTATTTGGTTAACTGTTAATTCACTCTATCATGATACATATATCTATATCTATTCAATTGTTTGTATAATGGGTATGGTACCAATTTTACATTTCTATGTTTGTTTGGTTTTCTTGTTAAATCCAATGTATTTCTTTTTGTAATGCTTATTTACTTGTGTTTAGTATTTCATTTGAATATTTTGACTTTATTTTGTGTGGTTGTGTGTGTGTGTTTGTTTGTCTATATGTTGATGATCATTTGCCTTGTTAGTGTTTTATCACCTTTCTTTTCAGTTCTTTTTTGTTCCTTGTTTAGTTATCATTTTTATGATACTTTATAACAATTTAGAGATCAAGTTTTTTTTTTGAATTTTTATTGTCAAGTGTTATTGTTGCTAATGAGAATTGTGTGTATGTGTCAGCTCAATTGATGTAAATGGTGATTAGTGAGTAATAATAATAATAATGTAAATGAAATACCAACAAAATGTACACGTTAGTTCCCTATTACTTGACCTCGGATAATTAGAATTATTCAAGGGATTGTATAAATTATCACATCTTGTGTTATTGTTTTCATTTGTGTTAACGATGGAATTGAAAATTTTTGTTTAACTGGTTAATTGAAACAATATTGCTTAGATTGGGTAGTGATCTAATGTGGAAAATTGTGTATATAAATCTAAATTAACAGAGTTTGTAGTATCGTAATCTTGAAGGAGTTCATTAAGATATAACGTATCTTGAGCAAATGAATAATTCACAATAAGATCAACGGTGACTAAACACCTATCTATTTGAGCTCGTTAATGAAACACACTTGATTGACCTGATGGTAGGCTTTCGATAATTACGGATATTTAATTAAGATCACGAACCGATCAATGTTAGACCACCATTGAAAACCTGGAAGCAACTAGACGGCTGTTTTGTTCTATCATGAGACTCGTCAGCAGTGCTCATCCACAGTCCCACACGCGGGACTCCAGCCCAGGATCTTCGATCTCGTGCGTAAACCCTTAACCTCTAGACCACTTAGCTGGCAATGTTAATGGCCATGATATTGCTCGACTATCTTTCATTATCTTCGGTGGGTGATTGCCTCACACTCGACACGGCTGAACTCTACTAGTCATGGCTTACCATTAGAACTTCAAGAATTAACTCTCGGTGCTAATCACCAGTGGATGCGCACTGCTCTATCCTGATAGTTACGGATATGTTACATGTCTTGAGATCGGAAAATATTAGTCAAGTTATTCACTGTGGTCACCAGATTTGTGCTGCAGGAATGCCGCTAACATCAAAGTATTAAGCGTTTTGTTGTTAACGGTAAACCAGTCCAGTACTCGAGTTAACTATGTAGATTCTTATTCATACTGTTGTTGGTCTAATTCGTAGGTGAAGACTCGAACGTTTGCAATAAGTGATTGCTTAGGAGTTTTGATTCGTTTTTGATAAATGTGATCTGGCTATTAATATCTTACAAATGGGAAATTTCGGTTTGTTGACTGGAGGCTTCACGACAAAATAAACTTCTATTAATGAAATCGAACATTCAGCATAGTCTGTGTGGAGGTTCGCATCCTGAAGTTACTTTGTATACTAGGAGAGCATGCAGAGTAGCGTGAGTAAGGAGAGCTAGACAAATGAAGAACAAAAAAAGATGAGTCGATGAGCGAGTGAGTGCAATGCATTGGAATTTACTACGGAAAGCGATAGATAATTGATTAATAACACTAACTTTGGATTAAAACACTCTTGGGTTCTAATCCAAGTGTTTTATGACCTATCCAAGCGTATTTTCATGCATCATTCTGATTTTATTAAGTTATGCTATACGTTTCCTATGAACATTTGAATACGTCTGCATGTTTTATCGACCATCCGTTTTCCAAGTATAATGTGAATCACATTTGGTTAGCTTGTGTGTCCGTTCAATAACCTTCCGATTTGCGTCTGGCAGTTCCATGCAATTTCATGCTCCTCACATAGTTGTCCGCTCATAAATGAATGTACAGAATACGCTTTTACAGACTGATTCGTTTTTGGATTTTTATACCGTCGCTGTACAATGGGGTTTGCCGAATTATTGTGTGCGAAATTAAGTGGATGGTTGTATGTCAGTTTGGAGTCAATTTTAAGCTATATATACAATTCTTGCAACTGCCTTGCCACTTAAGATCCATCGTGTGTTTATCCGACTGTGTATTAGATGTAGACTCTGTATGGTCTAGTATTTACTCATTAGTTTTAAAGTTAACAACAGAAATCGAAACAAACTCATCTGTGTCCTTGTATAGTATTTTCTTGTTGTGACTGGCAGATATCTGAACCATAGATTTATTGACCAATTATAGCAGACTTTTCGTATATTTTGGAAGAGGAGTTCTTGTTCAAAGATTGTCGTTTAAGCAATTTCATCAGTTTCTTTTGCGTACAGCTAATAATATTGCACTGAAGGACTTTATGTGATCTCCCCTTCGGGTCTCTTAAATTCAGTAGTAAAATTGACGTTTGTTTTCACGGTATTGAAATTTATTGCACCGAAATAAAAATGAGGGGACTTCGGAGTCGTGTGTAATTTTTATTGCTTCCATTCCATAGTGAGAAAGTTGTCAAGTACTTCTTTTGAACCATCTTCACTGGTCAATGAAGACAGCAGTCCCTAGAGCACTCTTAAATTTTCTAGAACCAGGATAAATTGTCTAAAGTCAGTGATGATAAATTCACAATTAAGGATTGAAGATTTATCGTCTCTAATCAAGAAGTTGCAACACCCGAGAATTGAAAGTTTATAGCCAATGTTACTCGGAATAGAAACTTTGACAGGCTTACTTATAGCATCAGGATTTCACGACTACAACTTCCCACTCGCAATAATGAACTTGATACTGACAGTGTGGGCGATAAAATCGTTAAGAGCACTACTGGACTAAAATAATCGTTTTAAAGTATGAAGTGAATTGCTGGAAGTTGTAAGTAAGAATAATAATATTATTATTAAAATCAACCAAATAATTAGGATCTGAGTAACAAAAGTTTAGTATTACCTGCAACGAAATGAACAGTAGTTTGACAAACCGACTTTATGTAGCAAGTTTTACCACACTTAAAGCATTTGGCATGACGAAAGGCACATGAATTACGTAGGTGAAATTCACAACAGGATTAACATTTACCAAACGGTGGTGTTTGAATGAATTGATGATTCCTTTGTACTTGCTGAATGTTTGATTTCCAGTTTCAAATATAATACATTCGTTAGTGCTTATCTAGTACTTCTTGATCCAATTTCGTTATTTCTGGGATCCTCAGTTCTTAAGCATACAGCTTATTAAAAACTTCGGCATATCAAGGAAAACCTATCTCTTTTCTTTATGCAACTCTTAATGAACTATTATTAAATCATGTAAATTGCACTAGTTTTGAATGCCGTGAAAGGGAGAAATTTCATAAGATGATTCGTCAAAGTGACCAAAAGGTTAGGGTATTCATCCTTGAATTGCAGAAACAAGCTGCTAAATGTAATTTCGGTGTTCAACTTCATGTGCAATTGAGAGATCGAATACATGAAGGACTTAACATACCAGGTCTGGAAAGAGAGTTGTTAAGACTGACAAGCTGTTCCGTTCAAGATGCTAGAACTGAATGTATTAACTACGAGGCAGTGAATGAACTTGATATCCATGAATATCATCGACTACAGTCGATGAAAATTTCTAGTAATTTGCTTAGTCATCATGATGATATATAATCTCAGGGTCAATCAAGCTCGCGCTCGTTTAATAGTGACTCCTATTCTAGTGTAAATATGAAAGGTGTTTCAACAAGGAATTACAAAGCAAATCACAAAGGTGAGATGAAGTTCGGTAAATGTTTATCCTGTGCCAAATTTCATCCTAGTAATTCATGTGCATTTCGTAACGCTAAATGTTTTAAATGTGGTAAGATAGGACACATTCAGTCAGTATGCAAAGCTACTGTCCATTTTGCTTCAAGTAGTACTAAATCTTGTAATTTAGATCCCACTAATTTAACTGTTCTTAATAATCATTTATCTTTGTCTACCATTTCGAAAGGTAATGCTCATATTCAAAATCGATTGTATACATCACTTGGTTCATTTCATGACTTTATTGTGGACACATGCAGTATAGAGTCCATTATTTCCTTCAAGAACTTGAAATCTTTAGATCCTAACGTTGTGGTACGACCCACCGAAGTAACAATATTGGGTATTACTAGACACAGATTGCCCATACGAGGATGTTGTGAATCGCTAATAGGAGATGATAATTCTTCATATATACCTTGTGAATTTTTAGTTAGCGAAACAGGACTGTCAATACTGGGTTTAAAGAATTTGAAAAGGCTTAAAGTGGAGTTGTCTTTCTTAGTTTCTAAAGAAAATTCTGATACTTTACTTAAAGATTTGAAAGCTATGTGTGTTAAGGATGATCAGTTTGTTTTTGCTGCAGGATTCTACTGTGGAGTTTTGTTTCAAAACCAATATGAAATTAAAAATGTAGCCACACCAATGGAACTTGGCGAAAGTTTCCTAACAACAGTTAAAGGATTATTAGAACAGAAGAATAAACCTAAATTACTGTACATCTATAAGTGCAGTGGAGGTATGAAAATTCAGCCTATAAGACTTCAAGTACAGGGTTATCCAATCTTTCTTAAAAGACAAATACTTCCTTATGGTCTTCGAGAAGCATTACATAAAACTTTAAACGATTTGTATGCGAAAGGTATAATTGAACCGATTCAGTCTTCAGCATGGGGTATTCCCATCGTTACGCCACTGAAGTCGGACGGCAAGACACCTAGAATTTGTGGTGACTATGGATTAACTCTGAACTCCCGTTTGTTAAAGCAAACGTGCACGAAGGTAGAGGCTGAAGATATTCTAAATCGACTTCATGGTTCTAAACTGTTCTCGAAAGTTGACCTAAAAGATGCTTATCTTCAAATCCCTTTAGATCAATCTTCATCTATTTTGACGACAACTGACACTTCGTTTGGTCTTTTCAAATACAATTTCCTTCCATTTGGTCTAATTTGTTCTCCAGCCATATTTCAGGAAGTTATCAATAAAGTAGTTAGTGATCTTGAAAGTGTTGAAGTTTATCAAAATGATTTCATTGATCATGGTTCTGATAAGGAAGTTCATGACGAGAGACTTATTGTTTTATTACGTTGTTTAATTAAGAAGAATATTACAGTGAATCCAAATGAGTGTTCATTTTGTGTATCTAGTTTTGAATGCTTTGGATACCTTGTTGATGGTAATGGTTTTAGACCAGAAATGAAACGATTAGCTACACTGAAAAATGCACCGTTTCCGAAAAATTTTACGGAACTACGTTCACTAGTGGGTACTTTTCAGTACTACACCCGTTTTATTCTTAATTTTTCTTTTCGTGCAGATTGTTTATTTAATATTATGACATCCAATTCATTCAAATAGGGTGAGGAACAGGAGTTGTGCTTACGAAGTCTGCTAAAGTTTTTCAAAGTGATTCTGTTCTTCGAACTCACTTCCCTAGTGAACATTC